TTGGCATTTTGAGAGTGTGCGTAACACGCACCCCGTAGTCGCACTCGTCATAGCTTTCTATCAGTTTTTGGGATTCCTCTCTGTCACTAAGTCAAATCTACACTTAGTTTCCAGTTTATTAGGTACACCTAGCTAAAGCTAATGCAGTCTAATACAACAAAAAAATCCAAGCAATACATCCTCCCTTCATGAAGGTTATTATCAGTTTTTGTTGATCATTTTGGAGGTTGTAGTTTGTGGTGCTATTTAATGTATTACATTACACAAAAAGGTATTTCTGTTACTTAGCTTACCCTCATTGATATAAATGAGGTTAGTGGTATAAGATGTAAGATTTGAAACTTTCTAATCTAGACTTAAAAGAAGTCATTAGTTACAATATTAGTTGGATAAAACTGTCTTCAATTTTCTTTCGTTATTTATAGTTTTGTTTTATCTAGTAACCACTAAAGTTGGGTAATATTAACATTTGAATTGAAGCCTATTCTGGTACCCAACGGTACCTTTTTTCAGTACTTTACTTCCTCTGTAATAACAAAAATGCTCTTCTAGCAGTCACACTAGCTGTGCATTCCAATACCCATAACACCATAATATACAGTATGTCAGTAAAAGATTAGGTATACGTATATTAAATCCAGTATGCCATAAATATCAGGATGTTCTACTACATACGGTCCGATTTTGCAGTAAGCAAGCCAGCTATTCTGGCTGTCCTGATCCCCAGTCCTCTGGGCAGTGGATGATACGTCACAACGACTTTCAGAAGCCGCAATGATGGATGACAGCGCATTCAGGTGACTGATGACCAGTCGATTAGTAGTAAAAGGAATATCAATTGTTTAATCGAATAAAATAATCCTGAATATAACCAACAACAAAAGGACATAAGTATTAAATGACAATGACAGAAGAATGTAAAGCCTATGTTATGTTAATGCACTATGTGATGTTTAGGTTTGATGACGGACTTGCCCTTTGTGCTGATTTTATAAAAGAACATATTTTTGTATAACAGACTGCTATTTTTAACAGTGTTACCTTCTGTATTTGACACTGATCAGCTTCTGTTAAGCCGCAGTCAATTTCTCTTGTTTCTATTCTCTTCTATACAATTTGTCCCTTTGAAGCGTGCGCTGATTCTCTCATTTCGCCATTGAAACTCCTCAGTCAGTTTCTAGTGTTTCTAAGCAGCAAGCTGCCAAGACTGCCTGCCATCACAAGCATAATAAAGCCGTCATCTCAGGCCAGCATTGAAAAATAGTCCTATTTTCGCAGGCTGATCCAGCTTCTAAGAATACAAGCAGCCAAAATAGCCCATTATGGCTCTGAGAAGAAGGTTGTGAAATGTCTGCAGAATGCTTTGATTTCTTATCCTCTGAGTACACTGGTCAGATTAAAGCTTCACTCTGTGTGTGTGTGTGTGTGTGTGTGTGTGAGGTCTAAACAAAAGCATGGATATTGAACTGAACAGGATAGGCCTACACATGTCTGCTTACAGAGACATGCAGGATAAAAGCTGATTGGCTTAGCCCTGTGGGGTCAGAGGGTTGAGGTCACATTTGGGCTAGTGTTTCAATCCCTCCCTGTGTTTTCCTGCAGGAGCTTGTTTGTGGTGAAAGATTTAATAGGAAATCAATGCACAAACCTTTACGCCGCTAGTCATCTCTCAGCTAATTGACATCTCCTGTCATTGTCTGAGTCTCTCATAGCTTACTTCTTACTAAAGAGAGATCGCTGGTGTTGGTTGTATGGTGCTGCCACTGCTGTGTCAAGTAAAATACAGAAGTGTAATTTAATTGTCATACATTTTAAAACCTTTGTATATCTATATTTATGTGGTTCATCTTTGTCACAGTTTCACATGTTCCTCTGCCTCTAACGGCCCCTCAGTGTTTGCTGTGTAGGAAGGAAGTATTTCCTATTCTCTTTTCCTGCCTGTGTTTTTCCAGCCAGCCGGGGGGATTGGAACAAACTGAAGCCTCCTCTAACCTTTGTGTTACCTCCACCCTATTAGCTGACTTCATTGATTACATGTAACTCCATTAGTTTCTTCTCCTGTGGTGTCTAAGTGTGGGATTTCTGGTTTTACCATTACTGCTGCTTAATGTACACCTCCAAGGGGATTGATGGCTTTGCCACCAGAGCAGCTAATGATTAGGAAACAGTGTGTTGACTTCCATTTGCATTATACTCTGTGTTTAGTCTTTATTAGCTGCAACCAGCAGCTCTATAGGTCGCGCTGGTGGTCGGTTGATTGATAGGTCCACAAAGATTTCCACAGCCTTTGGCAGCTGCAGTTTTTGCCCTAGAAGGCTGAAATTTGGCATGGAGGTCAAATGTGTGTGTGTGTGTGTGTGTGTGTGTGTGTGTGTGTGTGTGTGATGGAGAGATGTTCTGATACTATTTTTTCCTTCCTTCTATCAATGCTGAAACCTTAACTTGCATACCAGCAGATATCAAGCACCAATCTGCTGCCATTCAAAAACAATTGAAAAAATAAACAGCTGTATACTGCTAACCCATTTTCAGTATAAAAAGCCAAATAAAATGTATAAAAATTGAATAACAACCATTATATGTTATATATTATCTTACACACCCTGGGCTCTGTGCCTTACAATACTATTCAAGTGTGCAAATGATAATCTACACATAATTTGTTACACTGAGGAGGAAATCATTATTCATTATTTTGGTTGCTGCTCAAACAGCATCTGCTGATACTAGGATGGCGTGAATGTTAAGCTGAGCTCTGACCAATGATTCGCGATGAGACGAAGCAAAACTATTTTAGAACGTTGCAGAGAAAAGTTGCAGCAGTGTGAACTGGCCATCTGAGCTCAGCTCAAGCCAGCTGATGGTGTCACCTGCAACTCCGCTGGTCAAATTGCTGGCGGATGGTTTTAGAACGTGATGCACGTCACCTGTTTCTACAGCCAATCAGCTTGTAGTGAAATCAGCTGGTCAAGTTAAGCCTAGTTCACATTACGCCATTTTCGCCCTGATTTTGCATCGTGGAGACTATCGTAATCTTTTGAGTGTTCATACCTGGCGACATGTGTTTCTGTCATCAGGAGTCTCGCCAACTGCATTACAACCTGTGTGTGCACACCACAAGATTTCAAACACAACGCGCGCCCCGTGATCCTGTGAACGCCGCCATTGTTGTTGTTGCTTTCCGGTTGGTCAGTGTTGCCCGATCTTGGGAGAAAACAAGCAACCAGGGCTATGGAAACAAGCCCAAAAGAAGCGACTATCATGCGTTTAAATAACTTATTAGATGGATATATATAGAGGAAGGTGACGTTCAGAGAGCAAGCCCAAATAAGTAACTCCACTTTAGAAACAAGCCCAAAGTCACAGCTAATAAGCAGACCTGGCAACCCTGCGGCTTGTCCTCACATTTCTTCCCTCCTCCTGCGTGCCGACGTGGGACGTATCCCGCCTCTCACTGGCTGATGCTCTTTGTCAGTCGTGTCAGACTTCTCCAGTTTTCTAGCATGCCAGATATCCAGTCCCAGTCTCAGACGAGGGGGCGACTTGCTCGTAGGCTTGTTCACACGTGAGGACTCGTCGTGGCAGACTATCTGCCGACTCACCTCCGACCCAAGGTGGCTCTCAAGATCCTCTGCGATGTCAAAATCGCGGTGAAAATCATGTAGTGTGAACTAGGCTTTAAAATGACCGCAGACGGCGTGTTTGCTTGCTGCAGCAGGTGCTCTGTTCCCACCGAGCCGGTGTTTGTGCTTTCTTAACAGTTTAATTGGTACATTGGACATTTTAAAAATCAAACAATGGGTCCATTTAAGGAAAAAATAATCAGCAGATTACTGTATACTCAAGATCATCACTAGTGGCAAATCTAATAGATATCTACACACCATGACCTTGCATTGGGTGGTGGGATTAGGGATGTCCACTGTCTCCCCCCCCCCTCTTTCCTGCACACACACGCACACCAAAAAGTCAAACGCACACAGGTATTTACACCCACATAAGCAGCCCATCTGTCCCCTGAGACCAGCAGCTGGTGGGTGGCAGGAATGTCCGGTATGACCTTGACCTCTGACACCCTGCAGCAGGAGATGCCATCCACTGTATCTATGTGCTGTATCTGTCCTGCAACCAATCTGCCTGTCCTAAACATGCAGCTGCACGCACACACACACACACACACACACACACACACACACACGGACATCCTCGCCATTAGAATCATTAACTGGACACTGATTATATTAAGGCTGGACCCACAAGACTAATTTCACTAAGTGCAAAAAGCTTGTGCTGGAGGTTTTGTTTGTCTGTGTGTGTTTGTGTGTGTCTGTCCACTTGTGCAGACTCATATTAGTTGACAGCCACTGACTGTTTTGGCCTCTTAGCTCGTCTGGCTCGCTGTACCTTTTTGACATCCTGTCTCTGCCATCCTCTCCAGCTCAAGCCGATTTGATGTTGGTCGTAAAAATGGCAGGTTTTAGAGGAAAACTATTGTTCTGAGCGGAGTAGGAGGAGCAGAAGATGTTGGAGAGAAAGGGGTAAAGTGTGTGTTTATGTGTTGCAGCGGCACAGTTGAAAGAAAATGTTTAATCAATTCACATAGTCGCTGGTGCAGGCGTTTCTGAAATCCTTCCAAACAAGATATCAAGTTTTAATGGTAGCAAAGATCTTTGCTTTAGAAAAACCAAACAAATTATATATTATTTATTAGCACTACATCTGTTAAAGAGCTATGTAGAAGGAGCTGTTTCCAGAATGCCATGTTGCAGAAGTGCTATTGAAAAACATGAACTGCAGTCAGATTTAGTTTATGTTAATGCCTTCATGTTGACTTTGTGTGTTCCTTTGTGTCCACTCTCTCAGTGGGTTTCCAAGAAGTGTTTTTCTCTGACATTTTGGTCACTGTCTCTCACGTATCGGACAAAACCGAGTGTCTCGCTTCTCTTTCTGATACTGATACTGTGACCTTACCGTTTCCTCTGCCTCTTTCCTCTCCTCAGATCACCAGAAACTGGAGCGGGAGGCAAGAATCTGTCGTCTGCTGAAACATCCAAACATAGGTGAGTCATTTTCGAGAGCCGAGCGGATTAGTGGCGTAGCTGTGTTAATACAGAACATCGGGAATAAGATTTTAAGAAGTATGAATTAAGTCACTGCAACAGTTTTCCTTTTAAATATTTTTTTTCCTTTACTGCTGACCTTAATAAAACCCAATATGTAGAGAAATATTGAAGTGATAACCCTTGATTTCAGAGGTTGACTAATAGGCTGATATAATAATTATAATTTGGAACAGGAAAAAGATGATAGACGATAAATCATCTGTTTTATGCATAATTTTCTGTAGCAGTTGGTCTTCAAAGTCATGTTTAGAAGCATTTCCCATAAAAGTAGGAAAATTCATGAAGTATCAAGCTGATAAAACAATGTTAAGTGTGTTTTTTTGATCAATAAAGAAAGCTTGTGGTCTCCAGTTTCAGTAGTGCTGTAACACAGCAGTTCCCAACTGGTGGGTCATGGTCCAAAAGTGGGTCGCGGGTCCATTCTGAATGGACCGCAAGTGATTTACATGTCAAATTTGTAAAAAACAAACTTTTTTTTTTTTTTTTTTTTTTTAAGTACAGTGAGTTTCAGGGCTGCCCCCGACTAAGAATTTCCCTAGGCAACCAATAGTTGTCATTTAGGACCATTAGTTGACTAGTCGCCCGCATGTTTACGATGTTATTATTAAATGATATATTTTGGTGGTTTGAGTTGAAGGTGTGAGAAAGAAATGTCAGTAACATTGTTAACACTGTGCTACATTACAGAGAAATACAAAACCGTACTAATGAACCTTCATTAATATAGGCCTATATTTTATCTACAAGTGCACGTCACACACTGAGCGAGCTGCCTGTTAATGACGCTGTGGGCTAATGGGCATGTAGCTACTTCCATGTTTCAGATGATACGTCATGTTTGTAGTCGACCAATGAAGATGAGTTTACATATCACCTTGGGTTCGTCCTTCACCTTCTCAAAGTGATCCCACACTTTGGATTTCCTGCCCGACATGTTATTAACTAGCCTGTGGAATAACCGCAGGTACCAGCCCTGGAAATTAACCTGACTCCTGTCTGACTGCTGAGCGTGGACACTTCCTGTTTCTGTCCTTTCAAATTAAATTCCCACATGGTCCAGTCATATAGGTTTTGATTTATTTTGACAAGGCGCAGCTCCTAATAGAGTTTATTTATTAATTTTTTTTTTTCTGCAACAAAGTGACCAGCGAACTCTTGCCAACTAATGACCTTTCTGGTCGACTGACATTTGGTCAAACATTAGGGGGCAGCCCTAGTGAATTTCCAGCACAGAGTTTTTATTTTAAAGTGCCGTTTCCTGCTGTAGAGTGAGTGAACAATGGACAGCTACTTAACAGAGACAGCAAACTAGCTTAAGGATATGGCCGAACGCAAGTATGACACTGAATGTATTAAACTGTGTGGACCTTGAACTGATGACTAAAGAGAAATCTGGACTCCGTGACTGGAGCAGTTGGGAACACTGCTGTAACACATAACTCATGGAAATAATCAAGGTACTTAAAACCATCAGAGCCTGATTGCCAGATTGCCACAATTTATGTCAAAACTCTCACTCCTTGTTGTCTGAGACATAACTTGGTCAAATCTAAACATACCAGCGTGATACTCATATTTTAGGATTCGGTGCGAGTTATACTTTTTGGGCATATCATAAAATGTCCATTATAAATTAAAGTGCGAGAAAAAAAGAACTACACGCTATTTATAAATCCAGAACTTACCTGAGAAGCATCGTGTTTTGAAGCTTGCTTCAGCATCAAAGTAATCCAGTGATAGTTGTCCTGACATCCAGGGGTACACTGCAGACAGGAACTAATAATAGCTAATTCGGCTAATTTAATGGTGCCAATTTGCCAAAATGTCTCTGTAGCAGAAGATCGTTAGGTAGAAACAACACTGTAAATGCCTGTGAATGTCATAAATCTGTGTTAAGTTCAAGTCTCATATGCGTCTAACACTTGAGTTTCAAGACATCTTTTACTACCAAAGTGTGTGTGTGTGTGTGTGTGTGTGTGTGTGTGTGTGTAAAACCTAGACAATAGGCCCTGTCCCCTGGAGAAAGGAAGTAAATGGCAAAGTATCTTTGTGGCAGAACTGCCAAGTGTCTTATCATACAGTAGTGTGCCGCCCAGTGCAAGCTATACTCACATTCACATAGACATACACTAACACACACACACGCGCGCATGCACGCACGCGCGCACACGCACACACACACGCAGGATATGATAACAGCATAATAGGTATGGTTTCATCCATTCTCTCTTTCTTCTTCGTCCCACCTGATTCCTGCTTCATCGTCGTCCTATTCTTCCTTTCTTTTCCTCCCTCAGCTGCTCCTTTCTTATCCTGTTCTCAAGAGGAGAGCTTGTCAAGTTTTCTTTTCTCTAAATGTAAGCTATCTGAAGCAAGAGGAAATAATACCCAACATATGCAGGCCTAATTTAAAGCACCAAAGCACCTTCACCCACCTTGACGCAAGCATGTTTTTAAATCTACCTGTGCACATCCAGTTAAAACTGCTGGAATCCAGAGGTGCTGGTTCAAGAAAGCTGATGGTCAAAGTTGTATTAAGCTTTCACCACTCCGTGTACAGTGATATTTCCTGCCTGCTTTTGTGCTTCTTTAACAGAGAGAGAACCTGAAAGGAAATTACCAATATCACATTAATTATAAATGATTAAAATATGGCAACTACTCTGTCAACTTTGTCATCCAAAAGCCGATTCCTGGTTGCCAAAAAGCCAGGTGGCACTCAGGCTTTTAGAAACTTACAGTCGAGCCCTGGAGTGGATCGTTTCAGATGAGCAGGGAAAAACTGTGCCGCTGAAAACCTGGTATCCTCTGAGCATCGTATATCACTTGACCTTGTGCGTGTTTGTTATGGTTGTGAATGAATATACTACAATGACGTTGTGCTGATTTGTGTTAAGTGCGGTTCTTGTGCTTTGTTCCCACTGGCCAGTGATCAATGATGCGTTGATCGTCTGCCAAGTCGACGATAAGGAATCATTAAAAGCTTACAAAATGTAGGGTTTTCCTCAATAAAAGCTGCATTTAAACAATTGATACAGGTTTTTTTTGCAGCACAACCTGATTAAGTTTGTTTATTAAAGTAAACATTAAACTAAATGATTTGATTCATAAATAACAGCACAAAATAATACTGCTACTTCATTAAATTCCATTACAGACTTAAATAAATTAGATCTTTAAATTTGGCACAAACTACTACGACTAAATGAAGAACTGAGTAGATTTTGGTGGTCATAGGTCAAAGGTCTCATTCTTGTGAATACGATATATCAAGAAAACCTTGAGGGAGGTTTTTTCAAATTTGGCACAAACGTACCCTTGGACACAACCATGAACTGATTAGATTTCGGTGGGTAAAGGTCAAGGTCAGTGTGACCTTGCATCCATCTCATTCTCATGAACATGATATCTCACAAACACCCTAAATTTGAACTTCAAATTTGGCACAAACTTTCACGTGGACTAAAGAATGAGCTGATTAGAATTTGGTGGTCAAAGGTTGAAGGTCACTGTGACCTCACAAAACATGTTTTGGTCATAACTCTTACAAAGCTTTACACAAATGTCTAATAACTTAAACTGATGAAGCAATGACATTTTTTTTTATCCAAAAGGTCAAAGGTCAACTTCACTGTGACATCATAATGTTCTGCATCAAACACTTTTCTGGCCATTATACAGTGTCATATCTCAAGAACAGAAGGGGAGACATTTGGTCTGATACGGAATTGGTGACACTGATCTTGGGTGTCCACTTTGAAACTGTACTGATTGTATAGATTGTCTGTGCTGCTGGGGGGGGATATGTGTGAAGCATCACAGACATGGATGTAAACTCTAAGAGAAACTTGACTGGTACATGGAGGCAAACAGCCGTGGGGCAGTGATCTTGTTTATGTTTTTGCTGTGGCATCAAAAATGGTATCGAGTCGTGGCCCCCAACTGGTCCAGCCATAGGATCCAAATTTTTTCTTAGTCATTCATTCAAGGTCCACACAGTTTTAATACATTCAGCATCATACTTGTGTTTGGCCAAGCAGTCCAGCTAGTTTGCTCTCTGTCAAGTTCCTGTCTATTAGTCTCTTATTCTACAGCAGAAAATGGCACTTCAAAATAAAAGCTCTGCACCAAAAAATTTCTGCACTTCAAATGAAAGTGTGTTTTTCACAAACTTGACATGTTTGCAAGACACGGTCTCGTGGTCTGTTCAGAATGGACCTGCGACCCACTTTTGAACCGCAACCCACCACTGGTATAGAGTCTTTATTTTTTTAATACTAGTATTGTACTGAAGTTTAAAATTCTAGTATCAAGACATTACAGCAAAATTGATGCATTAAATTACTCACTACTACATCAGAAGTGTCTTTTAAACAACTGTAAATCCTCCACACCCACGTCACATCTTTTGTATTTGACACGTGCAGAAACAGAAAGCCAGACATTGTGGTTTAACGAACGTGCATTTACTGAACTTCCAGTGGCTAGCTTAGCCTCGTTGACTGCACACCGCTCGACAGACCCTCAACCTCAGAAGTGTGGTTACAGTACACATCCTTTTAACTCTAAAGGCGAGCACTTGTTGGACCAGACTTTACACTGAATACACAGAGATCAAATTGATCAATATGCTGCCCTTTAACCTCTGGTAAAAAGCTGATCCCCACATATCAAAGTATCGGAGCGTTGCTGGGACTGGGAACTGTAATGTCACTACGAATTACTGGGAAAAAAATCACATTACTATAACACATTACTGCCAAACACTGGTATAAAGCACAGTAATTTTACCACCCCTGCACCCCACACACAGTCACATACACACACAGAGAAGATTCCCTCAAGGTAATGGTACATGGAGAGTTTCCATATCGTCACCTCACTTAATAAACTCATTTCTAATTGAAGTCTCTCTCTGTTTCATCTTCCCTCACTAGTACGACTCCATGACAGCATCTCGGAGGAAGGCTTCCATTACCTTGTCTTTGACCTGTAAGTAAATCACATTAACACACACGCACACACACACACACACACACACACACACACACACACACACACACACACTCACGGCTCAGGTTTAAACCGGAGTATTGCTCCAGGATGAATTGCCTCACCTAAGCAACAAGTAAGTTGACAGTTTTATTTTCCATGACTGTCACCGTGTAGAGCAGTACAGTATATCAGGTTTTCCACCGAGCTGTCGTGATGGAACGGTTCAGTTTATCCTTAAATCAAGCCCTGTTTTAATATTAAACACATAAAGATGTTTAATGACGAGTTTGTGAATGCAGAATGCAGCTTCACCACAGTAATCTGTCACCATATTTCTAACATACATAATGTAAACTGCACTCCCTGCTCACCATGTTTACCCCATAAATAAAGATGATGGAAAGAACTGAGAGGGTCAAGCTTACATTTTCAGGCTGTGAATTGTATCAGAGTAAAATATAAGAGAAAACCTGAAGTCTTTTCACATCCTCTCTTGTAAAAGCACTCTGTTTTTGCCACTTGTGAAACATGGGTAACATTCTCTAATGGAAATGTGAGGACTTTCCCATGAAATGGTGCTGCTGTGTAGGTTTTGAGTCAAGCTCTAGTTTAAGGTGAAACAGTCAGTCAGTTTTATATCTGAATAAACCAGCCGTGCAAGTCAGTCTTGTAGAGGCTTGTATTATCAGCAGCCAGTCAAGTGGCCTCTTAAAGCAACAGCCAGAGCTTGTTATGCATTTACACAGAACGTTAGGGATCTATGAGGATGTGTTGTCACTAACAGCAATATAAATCAATGTGTTTCCTCAAAAATAAAAGAAACAAACAAGCCTCTTTTGTCTCTGCAGCGTCACTGGAGGAGAGCTGTTCGAGGACATTGTTGCTAGAGAGTATTACAGCGAGGCAGATGCCAGGTACGTCACCATGCTAACGTGTGAACATGTTATGTATAGAGAATTTCATGTGTCACTAGTCAATTTTCCTGCATGTTTTTGGAGGCTCCCAAAGAAGTGAAGTTGGGTTGCAAAAGCACAAAATGTTTTTTGATTTGAATCTGTGTTAATGTACTTTGTGCTTTAGCAGCAGAAGCATTGCTTGGTGTTTCTGTGAGGTTGTTTTCAGTACACAGTACACACTTTATTTTTGACTGTGTGACTCAGGCCTTTTTAAATTTAATTCCATTAATAAATAATGACAAAGCTGTCCTAAGTTTTGAAACATTATTTATGGTTTTTTGTCAGAAGTTGCAGTTGTTTTTTGCATTGCAGCACATTACCTGCCTGGAGTGTGCAGACTAATGGTCGAGCAGACAGTTCGTTTTTTGACTTAAGCGTCACAGTACAATAGAATAACTATACAAAACGTTAGTTTCAAAGATACAAATCTATGAACACATTCATAAAATAAAATTAGCCAACATCAAAGTCATGCTCCAGCACTTTCAGCCAAGTATGCAACATGATTAAGACTTTCTTGTCTGTGCCTGTGAACAGTGAAATAAGATCTTCATGGACAGATTCTACCTGGATCTCATGAGTCTGAGGACATAATGACTCATGTATGCCAGTGTCATGTGAAAAGGTGTACGACTTTGTCTTCCTTGTCCAATATGCATCCTGTGGCGATGACAGAACTGTAAAGTTATTCTCAGGTGATGAATATAGGGACTTCTGTTTGTACACAGCAGACTGACAGTCAATTCAGGGTTAACTTCACCTCCTATAGTGCTGATATTATCTGTCACCTCCATCTCTTGCACAAGGTGAGACATGTTTTTTCTTGACGTTTCTTTTGTCAGTCTTGAGTTCAAAACCCAAAGAATGTTGGTGCATATGGAGCCGATGCTTTATCCTACGGAGGGATTAGGCCTGTTTGTCTCTTTCTGAAGCCTTTACTGATGGAAGCCCTGTCTCTAATTAACAGTTCAAATTGGCAGAGCAAAGCTTTTACCCTGGCCATGTAAATGGTGTTGATTGATTTTAGAGACACCTTAAGCCAAGCCTCATGTCCATACGAAACGGCAGAAGAGAACTCAGATGTAAACACTTCATTTTTTTACACTAATAGGCATCATATATACAGGTGGACAAAGTAAAAGCATGCAGGTTCATTTGACTATCTACCATAATTTCACTTCATCAGTTTAACTATCAGGGCGGACGTGAAAGATAGGCCAACCATGTGATTATATACATGCAAAATACCACAAAGCTCATGAATTTAAAAAATAGTAATCCAACACGATTAATTTTGCATTAATATTATTATTAATAATAATTCTCAGGACATTTAAACTTTATAAAGTTAGTGGTAGTTGTGTGAGTCCATCTGGCGCTCATCTCAGCCGTTATATAACAGTTAGTTCCGGCCAAGCACTGGGACCTTTTACTATGCATGTATCAATCCGCTTTCCAGGTGTTCTCAGCCGTTAATTACGTTCACCGTTAATGAACCCACTTAACGGATCGTCGTAACGAACTTTCCCCGTAACACGAAATATATTTCAACAAATACGCCGTTAAATAATGAATAATCGTGAGGAAAGGAGGAGGGGACGGCCGGAATGCTTCACTGTAAACCTCCAGGTATGCTCATACAACACCTGATGACGATGCAACGTAAATTACTGATTCGGCTGTTAACACATCGGCATCTCGCGTATGCCACCAAAGCGACTGTCAGCATTCTTACTGCTGTCGCAAAATATATAGAAACACACAGATGTAACGTTAACCTACATGATACATTAGCCATTAGACCATTAGCTTGTTTGTGCTAATGTGTAGAGCTAGCTTAAGTTCCCCAAAATAGCATGCTAATGTGCCGGAGTGTTGCTTGGCAACAGTCCAGTCGCAGTACTATTTGTGTTGGCGGAGCCAAATAAATCATGAAATACGTTACATATACAAACCATAACCTGCTGTCGCTTTCTGCTGTTATTAAATGGCATTTGTAGATATGTTGTATTAAAGTAATATCACACTCAAGGTCGTGCTGTTATTTTCGCCACAAGACTGCGACTGAATCACAGCCGTGATGCTGTTAAGTGCAACAGCACTAACGTTACCTCCCGTTTGATACTGGTTAATTCAGCACTAGTGAAACTGGGACAGTTTGACCACAGATAGGCGAGCAAGTTTTTGAACATGTCAAGCATCTGGGATAGTTGCAAAATTTGTGCAGATGACTCCCAAAAGCACATGAAAACTGTAACAGTTAAACTGTATTTTTCTTATTATAATGGCCAATGCTTCTGTGAGCTGCATGTAACAAAGGGGCTTATTGTTATGTTATTTTAGTAGAAATAAAATCCTCATCTAATAAAAATAATAATAATAATAATAATAATGATAATCTTTATTTATAACGCTCGTTTTAAAACAGAGTTACAAAGTGCTTTACATGTCAATAATTAAAACAGGCAAGACATGACAATAAAAACGTTTAAAAGAACCGATAAAGACTGAGGAAATAGAAGACAATCTAAATGAACTTCAATAAAAGTGTGTTTTAAGAAGGGACTTTAAAGAGATCACTGACTCCACCGACCTGATTTCCTGGGGCAGACCGTCAGGGCTGACAGCAAACGCTCTGTCCACTTTAGTTTTCAGCCGGCCCTCAAGAACAGACAAAAGACCTCTGCCCGGGGACCTCAAAGTACATCCTGGTGTGTACGGCACTAAGAGGCTGGATATATAGCTGGCAGAGAGACTGGGAGGGAGACCATCGCTGCTCCCCCGTGACGCTTCAGTTAATCGCAAATATTTTTCACTGAAGCTTTAAGGCCTTCTGTCAATCTTACTTCTGATTGACCATGGCATAATGAAATATGTGTTGTTTTGCCTGTCAAATGTATGTACAGCCAGTTTAAGTGCCTCACCTCGCGCTGGTAATTGAAGCCACATACGAATAACTGATAAGCTAAGCAGTTGTTACCTTAGTTATGAGTGGCAAATATACAGTGAAATAAAAAAGCATTATCTGAAAACTAGTCAGGGCTATCAGGTTCTAAGTTTTGTCTCGAGGATGGACACACATTTGGGATAAGCTCCCTTCTGATATTGATTTGTACAGGTGATTCTACACCACAGACTCCATTTGAAAAACAAAGAAAAAGGCAGAGATGTGAGGTGAAGAGCATTGGAGACAGAGCAAGAGGAAAAATGTGAGGGGATATACAATGCCAAAGTTAGTAAGGACAGCAACAAGGCAGTCTGATGGGCACTACAGTATACTAACTGAAGGACCAGGGAGGAGAAAAAAAAAAGTGGAATCCAGATGTAGCCTAATTTGGACACAAAGCCAGCAGCTCTTCTTCTGATTCTGTCTCACAGAGAGAGGACACCACGCTCCCAAAATCTCTCTCTGCACACCCACTTGCTCCTGACCATGGCTTCCCCTTTTATTAATATCAAGCTCAACATACTGTAAAATAAATAATAGTAATTTAAACTGCGCATCAGACCAGCAAAATTGCTGACACGTAAGCTTAGGACAAGCTTACATAAGATGCCGCCTCAACAACACACACACGCTGCCTGCCCACACATTCATATTCACATAAAAATGCACCAAACTTTTCTCCCACATACAACACTTATCCTCCTGTCCAACTGCATGCAGATCACAAAGGATGCTCTTGTGACATTTCACAAATAATTGTCGCTCGCAAATTGCAGGTACATTTGCGGGTCTTACAGCGCTCTCACATGTTCATGCATGACTCATAAACGTGCTGGTTGTTTTCAGTAATATAATGTGTCATAATAAATGAGAGGAAATTATCTCATGTTGCAAGTTTTGGCTGGCATGTTGAAAATTTGGTGACAGGCCCGTGGTTTCAGGGATTTGCTCCAATCCAGCCACAAGAGCATTAGAGTTGGGTTGTGTTAGAACAGAACTAGTTCAGACGAAGTGCTGTCTAACCACATCAGTAATCAAAATGTTAATTGTTGTTTTAAACAGCCACACTGGAAGGCAGAGTGAAAAGCTACCTATCATAGAGAGAAAGGAGATGCAGTATCATTTAAAGAGGACCTATTATGTTTTTTTTTGGGGGGTTTATACTTGAATTTTGGGTTTCTACTAGGACATGTTTACATGCTTAAATAGTCAAAAAACATGCTATTTTCCTTGTACTGTCTGTGCTGGAACACCTGTATTCAACCATTGTCTAAAATGCTCTGTTTAAGCGGCTGTCTCTTTAAGCCCCACTCCTTTGTCAGTGTTTCTGGGTCTTCTGGATCTTGGCGTCTCTGCATTGTCACCGGAGACTGTGCCGGAGAATATCGGCACTTTCTACAGTGAAAATTCACCAATTAAAGCACGTTCCAGCAAAAATATGATCCAAAATAGGGCAGAAATTTACAACATCAGCAACCAATATTACTTTTACCCTGACATTAGCATTGCACTTGCAGCCAGGAATGACTGTAACAGAGAATAGCAGCACTTGTTACTGTGAAAAATCTCCATTAAAAGCATCATGTAGGCTATGTAGTGTAAACATTTGGAGCGGCATGCCAGGAGCACATGACCATATAAAGAAATCTGGCACACTATGATGTTATCCTGTAGCCAGAGTAGTAAAACCCTTACATACATCTACTTTATTATTTTGAGTCTTTGGCCATGACTCATATGAACAACCTTCATGGCAACACCATATATAGGACACAAAATACAGAAACACATAATAGGTCCCCTTTAAATAGGAAATAATAGCACACATTTTCATACCCTGGTAGATATTCATAGTTTCGCACTTGGTCGTTCACATAAAAAGTGACAAATAGTTGTAAAAAAAAAAGGAACTAAAGAGACGAAGAGAAGCTCAAAACCTGTTTACTTTCTCATCTCTGCACTGCCGGCCAATCAGGGCATGAAGTGGGTGTGAGTGTCGGGTTGTCCGTCTCGGAAAGAGACAGAGATGGCTAGACACAGCCCCCACTGTTGTTGATTTGTTGTCTTTCTTGTCTTTTCCTTCCTTACTTGGCCTGTCTCAACATGTCTCTTGTCTACCTCTCAGTGTTTTTGACATTGTGGGGCACAGTTGCCCATATTTATTTATTTTGTTAGATTGCAGAGAGTCACTTATTTGCTCTACCTTTTTTGTTATATGAATTCACTCACGCTCAAAAAATCACCATCAAAATGTGCACAAACGACTGACAATGAGGACATTGTGTTGATCTGAAATACTTGAAAATCCTTACTTAATGTTTTTTCATCCTCCACCTCAGTCACACTCAGTTTTCTTTTAGCTGTTGTGGATTGACAGATGTGTCTGTCCCCTGTGTCTTATCCTTCTTTTGTCTCCTGCAGCCACTGCATCAATCAGATCCTGGAGAGCGTCAGTCACATCCACCAGCATGACATTGTGCACAGGGATCTCAAGGTGAGTTATTATATACCAGTTGTGAATACTATCCAGTTGTATAAAATCTCTTATAAATAGCACCGTGTTGTGAATGAAGATGAAAGGAATTTTTGGAGGTTCACACCTCACGCCGACGTCACAACGTGACGTAAATAACAACTTAAGAGATGAGCGTCATCCCTCCCTCTCTTCACCTGCTTTCTCTATTCCACTCTGCCTCTATGTCTGTCTCCCCTTTTCCCTCTAACCCCTTTTTCCTTTCCCTCCTTCTACGCCCCCCCCCCCCCACCACCACCACACACACACACTGCTGAGGAGTGACGAAAGCAGACCAGCTGCTATTAATAGCGGGTTGGTGGATGAGATGACGGCCAGTGACGATTTCCCTCCCAGCCAGACTGTTCACCCCTTACAGAAACCAACAGCACTCTGACCTCCTCAGCTGTATGATTTCTTTTTAATATTTATGGCAAATGAAGACAGCAAAGTGAGCTGAGATTTGAACACCTGGATAATTGCACCACATTTCTTTTATTGCCAGTTCAGAGTCCTAAACTTTAATAGTTTGCTTAGCAGTCTGGTCTATTACTTTAATGTGACAGAGCAAAATGAAGCTATTACTCTAGGGTAAGTAGACAAACATAATTGGAAAACAAACAGTCTGGTTTTGTGTGTGAGTGGCGTAAATGGACTGGTGTTGCTTTCCATTGATTTTTCAGCTTGCATATGGATCTTGGTATCAAATGAACTTGGGAGTGGGAAGAGTTTTAAAAAGACAATAATGGTGATGGATGAGGAGGTCAGACATGAATTACCAGTACATTAATTGTTAATGAACAACTCTCCTTTCATGTTTTGAAAATGCACCCGTGCTGCATCATTCTGTGCAGTCATATATGGTTCATACCCAATGAAATATATATCTTAATTCTAGTAGACATCTCAAAGTTTGCAAAAATTACAAATATGTCAGGCTCAATTTGGGGGAAATGTGTCTAAAATGATGCTCAAGACATCTAGAATATTTCCGTGTGATGGAATAAAGTGGTCTTGAATTTGAATATTTTACTCTAATATTTTAATGACTTCCATTGCATGCATTTGGCAAATGTTATTGCCCAAAGCGATTTGTAGTTAATGCATTATTTCCATAATGGCTTCAGTGAAGAGCTAAAACAAGCTGATACAGAATATATATCCAAACTCTATCTAATAAAATGCTTTTTTTCCTCCAAATTTTTAACCTGCATATCTTTTTTGATGGTAAAGCCTGTTTTCACTCAGCTGTTTTCAGTGAAAAGGTTCTTATAAACCCACTGTACACGACCCGCCCAGAACCAAATGACAGACTGATAAATAGAGTGACTAGCTGGTGAACTTAGTGGAGCATTAAGCAAACCAGAGCAAAAAACAGAGTGAACATAGGACTTAGTTTTCACAGGTACCCAGAAACACAACTTCTAGATAGCCATCACTTCTTTATAAATGATTATATGTCGGTGTTGTGTTTGTAGTTTGATGTGCTGCCCCCAAGTGGCCAAAAAATATCAACTGTTGCTGCTTCCATGTGATACTTTCTCTGGGAAAGATTTTTGGTTGTTGAGCCTCCAATCGTCTTACAGCTAAAGAGAAAGCAACATCTGATATTTTGTCTGATATTTAAGAACTTCCTGGGGATAAAGCTGCCAGAAGTGACATCTGTATCAGAGCCATAAAATTAGTAATAATGCCAGCTAAGTGTGGCATGGAGAGGTGTGACCTCACGCACACACACATCATATTTTTGCCTCCGTGTCATCTTGGGAGGGCCACTCGCTGAAGGGAAAACAAGAATTACAGAGAAAGAGTTGAGTGCTGTTGGCTGGTGGCAGGCTGAGTTGCCATGGTAACTGTAGGGTGAGGTCACCCGGCTGCTGCAGCGCCAGTGTAGGGACTCATTATGCCACCTCCCATCTATCTGTCTCTTTCTGTCTCTCTCTCTCTTCTTCTGTTGCTTTCACTCCGGCTCTCTGTCCCTGTGCAGTTCCCCCTGTTCTCTCTCTTTGCTATTGTTTCAGCTCTGCCCGATAGACGGGGGGGAATGGTGGGAGGGATGGATGAATGGATAAGTAGGAAACTAGATGGAGAGACTGACAGATGAGAAGAAACAGAGTATGAGCACAAAGACAGTATCAGACATCTGTCTGTCTGTCAGTATTTGAGGTGATAAGGACAGTTAACCACTGCAAGGACTTTTGCCCTCAAGACACAACACACACACACACATTAGACCTGCCAACTGGGACTTGTACTCAAGAAGAATGGCCCTAAAACATCTGTTTTCTATACAGACCACATTTTCACTTGGTCTGTTCACCTGGACAACTGGAGAGTTACTTTATCTCGAATCTGCCTGCATTGTGATTGAAAGTCAATATGCAAACAAAGTAGGAAGAGCTGGCAGAAAAAGAAGAGCCGAAGTCAAGGAAAGAATGTTAGAGACACTTCTACGAGAGGACAGCCAAAGGCATTCATTAGCTACTTTTCCATAGATTTGTTCACTAGGCTAATCACTTGTATTGTAAGAGGATAATTATTACCAGTGGAAAAGCTTGTTAGCAGTAGCTCTGTCACCACAGTCGGTCACATGACTGTCGTCTTGCATTTCATCCCTCAGTAGACTCCCGAGGTGATGCTGCTGTACGGAGTCTCCTCCATTCCTTCAAGGGGTCGTCAGGTTGAGATAGCAGGAGGCTGAGTTAGATGACCTTTCAGCTTGTTCAGCTCATTTCTTTTCTTAAGAACGAGGTCACAGTGCTCAGATTGCACTTACACCTGACTGAGATCCGATTGTAGTGCAAGCCAGACCATCAGTAGATTTTTAATGCTAAAAATGATGACAGGGGCATCCAAAAACATGAAACACAAAAGCTGAAAGATCAAACCGCAGAAGTAGGAATAGGGGGAAAAATCTACACAGCATAGTATCACAATATATTGGGTGCCAATATTGTACCGATACACAGATGCCAAATAATGTTTTTTGTTAATGTATAAATTGTAAATATTGCAAATACAAATTATGGTAGAATACTATAATTATCAACCAGATACATTTTGCAGCAGTAAGAATGACTGAAGTGAGATGAACAGACTGAAAACTTCATCTTATTAGATAAAACTAATGTTAACATATTTTTCCTTTAGGGACATAATGTGCAGTTGAAAAAAGGGTAATAAATTGCAATATATGTCATGGCAATACTCAGCATATCGCAATGATAATGTATCATGGCTCAAGTAATGTGTTAATATTGTATCGTGGGACCTACCCCCAAGCAGCAGGCCTCTTGTCTAGATCACAGAAATGCTGGTGAATAGGATTTATGGTGGATATTGTACGATACCAGGGAAAACCTGCAAACTCGACAGAGAAAGAACATAAATGGCTGTTGGAGTCAATCCCATGACCTTCTTGCTGTGCTATCCGCTCAACCACGCAAGAGAGTAAACAGGTCAACCCTATATTATGAAGAAATACCTAAAACGAGTGAACCTTAAACAGCTGTGCAGCTTTAACCAGTAACTGACCTCACATCAAATCCTGTTTCCTCAGTTTCTTCTCCCTCTCATCTCTTCCTTAAGTGACAGGAACTATGATGTAATGAGACGCAAATGAGGAAAGCGAGGAAGCAGTTGAGACAAATAAATCACAGTTAATATGTCCTTATCTTTGCCAGGTCCTGACTTTTTGCATGATCGTGTGAACAGAAAGGCCGTGTCAAAAATTCAGTGTTAAAGTCTGTGACAGCCGACTGAAAAGGTTTTTCCTTTGGGGGAAGCCTTTGTGGCCTGCTTGACCAAATCATGCCTCATTACTACTGTAGATGTCATCGAGCTCCTGCAGCTTATCCAGTCATGCAGACAGATAGGACATTTCCTGAAGGAGGGTACATGCTTATCTCTTTTGCCCTATGTATTTTTCCCTCTTTTTGTTCATAACTATGCTACAATGTATTTTATACTATGCAAAACATAGTTTGTCCAAGGTCAAATTTAACAACCTGCTCTTATTAAATGACACGTCAGTCTTCATTTTATTCAAAGTTGAAGATCTTTTGGGGTTTATTGAAGGTTGGCCAGAAAGAAAATATCAAACTAACTTGTGATGGGGATTAATTTGTATGTTTAACATTTTACGGCCAAACTTATTGTGAAAGAAATGTTGGAAACAGTCACTAGTTGCAGCCTGAGTGTAAATATTTCATCCTGAAGAACACTTTGTGTCTGTGTTTTGCAGCCAGAGAATCTGCTCCTTGCCAGTAAGATGAAGGGAGCAGCGGTGAAGCTTGCAGATTTCGGTCTAGCCATCGAGGTGCAGGGGGACCAACAGGCATGGTTTGGTGAGAAATAACCCCACTTCTAACAACTTGAATGTTTAACCTTATTATCTTTATTTATTCCACAGTGTTCACCCTCAGCAGCAGCGTTTGCTTCAGCAAGAACACCGCCATCGCTGCTTTAGGAAATAAATTATTAAGTTAGTGGCGAGCTAGAGTTTGTGTTTCAGCATATTATAATAATCATATGCTCTATTTTTGTTACTTTATATGAGAAATAAATAAATATGAACAAACATATTAGAGAAAGTACTAAACAATCCAAATTTGTCCTGAGGGAAGTATGTTTATTAAAGAACTGTCAAAAATAATTTTGTTTGTGTTGACACTCTGTAAACGTGTTTTATTTTAAACAACTATGTGGTGTTTATAGCTTAGGTATATTAATATATATTATTGTGGATATTAGTTTTAATATTCAACACAGCAATACAATAAATGTTTTATTTATTTAGAACATTATACAAAACACATATATACAAATATTTTAGCTTTTTGTAGCATTTGATAGAGATCATAAAAGCTTGTAAACCCATAGTCTTGCTCAGACAATGCAGTTATCAGAAATAGTTCTGTATATCATTATTGGGTTGCATTTTCATAGACACATTAACACAAGTTTATATTTGTTTATTGCAGGTTTTGCAGGAACTCCAGGATATCTGTCCCCAGAAGTGTTGAGAAAGGATCCATACGGCAAGCCAGTGGACATATGGGCATGTGGTCAGTTAGTCCTGTCTGTGTTTGCTGCATTCATATGCTCACTAATATTCATTAGGAATTGTATGCTTTAGGTTTTATATGGAGTATATTTAAATAGATTCTGTGTGTATGTGTGTGTGTGTGTGTGTTTTGTTTTTTTCAGGTGTGATCCTGTACATCTTGTTGGTGGGCTACCCTCCCTTCTGGGACGAGGACCAACACAAACTGTACCAACAAATCAAGGCCGGTGCATATGATGTAAGTACTCCCCTCTCATTCTTGTAGTTACCGTCCCTTACTTCTGTACATGTGAGCTGCATATGTGTCGTTTGTGTGTAGAATACCTGGAAACGATTAAAGCGGAAGTTCGATAATTGCTATAATCACCAGACTCTAAATAGAAAGTAATGTCATTGTCGTTAAACTTAATTTAAGGTAAACAGAAACAAAATAACACTAATGAAAACCATCTTGGTTCGTCTTCCCACTGTCCCAACAATCACTAGCTCTGGTTTGGTTGAAATGAACAAAAATATTCTGGCTCTATAAATGCTAAAATTAGTGTTTATTTAAATGGAGTCTGGTGGGTTTGGTGATAAAGATTTGGGGGCTGTTTCTGGTTAAACAGAAAGGATCTTACTACTTAATAAAGAGGCTTATCTTTGCAGGAATCCTTTCCATAATATTATCACCTACAAGAATAATCTGAGCCTATCAGTGGCAAAAACAAACACTTCAAGTGGACGTACATTGGCACTGCGCGAATGTCTCTAGTGGTTACATTGCAGTTTGTTTCGTCGCTGTCGGTTGCAGTGGTCTCTCTCAACAGAGGACCAAATATTCCTGTTCCCATTAGTCAGACACAAAAACATTGGAAAACAGGGTCCAGGTTGATCATGACCATGATATAGAATAAATCAGTGTAATGTTGTGGAATATAAAATACAGAATTTTTCAAAGCAACAGGTAAATATAGAGATGGTTTTGAGTTTAACTGAGGAACAAGGTGAAACAGAAATAAAGGCCTGGCTCCATCTGCCAATGATGTAAAAGCCACTGTTGAGAATTCACAGATCCATTCATAAAATAAAAAATATTGATCAGTGCAGCTTTAATAAATGCTCATCTTTCACTGAGCTCATATTTGCGGGCTCATCCCAGGTTGGCTGACTGAGCGAGCATTTTGCAAATGGATCCATGAAGATAAGTGTTGTGGTTCATAGAGTCTGTCAGAGAGCTCCATCTGTGTTCATGAAACTTGAATTCTAATACACAATCTCAGTCATAATTTATGTGAATGGGAAAACAAGCACAGAGCCTCGAGATGAGCCCTGCAGGACACCTTCACTTCAAGTCTCGTCAAATAACACACTCAGAATTCTGTCGTGCAAGTCATTTAGAAATTTAATTTTGTTTTTTAATTGCTTGCTACTTGTTATTGCATGATTTTGATCTAGTTGTAGAAAAAAAAGTGATACACTATGAGAGAGCGATAGGCTTATTTATCAGATCTTGTCATAGTCTTCTGGGAGATAGGACTTTATTACCCGTATTAATTTCCATAATTGGAAGCAACCACATCTAATGAATGTGCATAATATGAGCATTGATATGAAGTGACTGTGACAAGCACTTGTAATAATGTGCACTTGAGTATCGCTGTCATGTAGACACCTTGAATCTCATTTTTCTTTTTTGTCAGTTATTGACAACTGACACTTAATGTTCTGAGTAAATGTCTCGGACAGCTTGCTTTGATTTTTAGTAGTAAACATGTTTGCTGGCACTTAATGCTACTGAGGTGGAGGGATGAGGGCGGCAGCTTTGGGTGACTGGAGTGAGAGAGCTTACGCTGACTTTGAAAACTCCCACCTGTTAGGACTGAAGGGTTTGCTCTTGAAGGGCATGCATTGACTGTTAGCTATCACAGGCTGAAAATCACTCCTTATTTCCTTTAACATGATATCAATGAAGGATTTTTTATTTTTGTTTCATATTGCTAAAATGACCCATCAAAGAAAAACAAATCGTTGCATCATTCCACATCATGCATACTCCGAGACAAAAGAAAATAAGACATGTTTCATACAGAAATAAACAGAAAATAGTAAAAATAAAGTTACTGTAATCATCTAACACATTTTTTCCATGCATTGTTTGGTTAATATGACAAAATCTTAAATATAATCTGTAAAAGTATCAAAGAGTCAGAGTTGTGGTCGCAATCTAGGTGTATTAAGCGCCAGATTCAATAAACATACAGTTGTGATAAGATCATTTTTAGCAGAATTATTTGTATTAGTATTAGAAAACATTAAACATGTTCATGGGAAGCAAAAAGTAGATAAAGATCATATCAATGACGATATGAAAAAAAAGTGCATTTAACTTTTAATTCTTTAACCCACACACTGGTAACTGACAAAGCTTGTTCATCAATACCAACATAACATCCAGTCTCCAGATGTGGTGGTAAAATACAACTCCTGTTCATACATGCTCCTCTGCTTTCTGCCTTACTATCTGGTGTTTTAGCACGTATTGCAGATGCAGGGCTCTTGAGGATCTGCAGACTAAAATATGTCTTGAGTATTTCTCTGTTTTAAATCTCAAGTTGAACCTGAATGTTGAATCACTGAGTAATATCAATGAAAAAAAATTGGCAAGTGACTGAAACAAGAACGATTTCTTCTCTTTTCCTGGACACAACCATATGAATTCATAAGTGTATATGTGTGCACATGCATGTGTGTTGAGCCAGTTGTTCAATGATCAAATGTTCAACGAAAACACAAGAACAGTGACATACATTCTTAATATGTCTTCCTTTTATCTGCCTCCTTCAGTTTCCTTCTCCAGAGTGGGACACAGTGACCCCCGAGGCCAAGAATCTGATCAATCAGATGTTAACGATTAACCCTGCCAAAAGGATCACAGCCGACCAGGCCCTCAAGCATCCCTGGGTCTGCGTAAGTCACACTCCTTGTCTTCAAAAGAATTCGTTACTAGCATGTAAAATACCGCTGTAGATATTTGTGCCATCTTCCAACAAATTGTCACATATTTGGACTTTCTACCTAATTAGGCATTCATCTGTTTCTTTCACACTCACACGTCCAGAGTTACACTGTAAAATATGTTAAGCATTTCGTTTTTGGCACTGCTTTTTAAAACAACAACACAAGGTCATGAACTGCTCAACACAGAGGCCTACAATATGCACTCAAGCAGAATTTGTAGTTTGGGGTAAAATTAAACACAAAACTCAAAATAAGAGCTTTGGACAACACTTGGATAGATGTATAACATACTACCATGACCAACATACTACCATGACCACAGAAATCTGCAGTTGCCAACAGTGAAGCTAACTCCCACTGATGAACATAACTTGGTATCAGAAACCAACTGAAGCAGGTGGTCATTCAGTTTTGTAATATAGAAAATAATGGATATGCCTGAAAAACAAGACACAAGGCTTTGAGTTCATTTGTCATTTGGAGTCAATTATATAGGAATAAAAGTGTTATGATGTCACACTAAAGTTAGGTTTATTCATTGTGTTTCCTCTCTACATACAGCAACGCTCCACTGTGGCCTCCATGATGCACCGTCAAGAGACTGTGGAGTGTCTGCGCAAGTTCAACGCGAGGAGGAAACTTAAAGTGAGTAGGGGCACAAACAAATACACATACAAACGCGTCCATGAAACACAAATCCTCATAATGTTGATTTCTGTGTCTCTCTAGGGAGCCATCCTCACAACAATGCTGGTGTCCAGGAACTTTTCAGGTGAGCTTTGGCAGGGATACTAATCACACATCAAGAGACAACAATTTGATTTGGCACACAGACTTCACAGCGGTGCCCAGTGCTGCTCATAGCACACATATTTGAATGAAGCCATACAAAGAAGCATCTGGATTTGGAGAAACTGAGCAGTTTTATAACAAAGAGCAAATCTGTTTGGTCATTATATCTAATAATAATGATAAGAACACTATAGGTAATTACTTTTTCTGACTTAATATCTCAGAGGCCAAGGATACAAATCGCTGTTGTTCCTCTACTGTCCTTTTTTGGGGCCTGAATCTAGTTTCCTTATATCCACAGATTTTATTCTTGTTCACATTTGCTTGTCAGCTGTCTACAGTTTTGATTTTGCACTTCAGGGGTTTGGCTTGGATTTCCTCCTTGTAAGCAGTTTGATCACCACAACACAGTCCACCTTTGATTGAACGCTCAATCTGTGGACCAGACAATGGTCAAGCAAGCTAATGCATTAATGCTATTGGCCTTGTGTTTATGTGCCTTCATGTAAGTAAAGCAGCTCCCGTGGATTACAGCCAACTACTCCACCGGTCAAGATTGATCTGGACTGAAGAAAGCAAGACGAGCCAGACCTCTGAATTGCTTTATACATAACTGCAGGCATGTTTATCAAATGAATGTCCACAGAAATAAGATTAATAATTTCGGGCGCAGGTACTTTGGTGCTGAGAAGATTTCCTGTCTGCTGCTTCACTTCATCCTAATAAAAGGGAGTTAGGTATCAGAGAAAACCTTGTCTTCACTAAGCCCACTTGATCCAAACACTTCTTGGAAACCCATGTCTTGTCTAATACTCTGAAGTTTATTAAAGTTTAAAAAATCCAGAAAATAAAAAGGCTGTCAGGTTTTAGTGAGGCTCTAGTCCCACCTGTGCCTCCACATTGAATCCCTCTCTGTCCAATAGTGGGACGGCAGCATACCAGCCCTGCCGCTACCACCAGCACGGCCGCAATGGCACAGGAAGGTACGTCTGCTTGAGGGGGTGTTGGAGTCGGGCACTGCCAACTTTGTACTCAGGCTGTTGGCATGTGGCCTGGGCTGCTTGAACCCCTCCACCTGCTGCCTGCTGCCTGCACACTGATGATCCACTTTTGAATGGTCGTCATTGCACTGGGGCATCTTACACACACACATAAACATGTAAATGGAAACCACAAACAAAGCTTAGCTCTTGACCTTTCAGTACTGCAGCGTGTCTTGATGCTTTAATAAACAGAGCTCCTCTCCAGGACTGGCTATTTAATTTCCTGTGTCGAACACAACAGCCATTTAACTGACACCCAGCATGACCCTCTGACATCCCTCCAACTATCGCAGCTGCCACCTAGCAAAGCTCTGTTTACACATCTCTGCATTACAACAACTTGTGCAGGCTGCATATCTTTCCCTCTGCAGCATAAACATTTTAACCTTTTATATCACAAGTATAAATAGACACGCCAGCCTTCAACCTAACGTAACACCCCCAGTTTTACCTCCTTTGAACTGGTTTGTATCCACAGTACTCGGCTAGTGCCCAGTCGATGCCTGCCCGTGCTCGCCGCAACCTTCCCTCCGCATGGCTCTGGCACTAACAGCCAGCCAAGCATGTGTATGAGCATACAGTACAGTACAGTATGCCAACCTGCATGGGAAGCTGTATAAACAGAATGCACAGTGTCCTTTGTTATCTATTTTTCTTTGTCTCCTCTCTCCTGCCTGCTCCGTTGTGTTTGTGTGAACAGACAAAACCACAAAGAGCCTAAAGGCATCAGTATGCTTCAAACAGAGTGTTTGTAGGATCATCAAACAGCGTCTGAAACCACTTTCCCTCAGACTTCGTATTTATAGAGGCTGCATACGACAGTTTTGTCACTTTCCGAAACCGACGCAAAGAAGACGTCAATACTGTGGTAACAACTGTGGTGTAAAAAACAAACATAAAAACAACCAATAATATATATTAGGGGTGTTCATCCCAACTTTTGTCACAATACAAGATATAGATTCTTTGGGTAACATTACAGTCATTGCCAATATCATAGAGTGCATTGTTGAAACAGCAGCTACTATTGCTGCAGCAAAAAAAAAAAGCTAGCTAAGGGACACGCCTGAACAGATTTGTAGTGCCTTATTAACTCAGAAGTGTTCATTAATGGAAATTAATCAAAAATACTAGTCTCTTTTTTTCTGGGAATTCGACAGGCATGACCTCTTCCCATTGTTCAAAACTATGCCTCGTATCCTTACTTGTACGATTATCACATATTGGCTCTCTTTGCGACAGCAGACTTTTAGCCCCACTTTTGAGTTTGACGATTTAGAGCAACTACAGACAATGTTGCGTTCAGACAAGCACGATCGACACGTCTTAAATACTAGTTTGTACGAAGCATACTGAACCTTTCACAGTGAATGTCAGTCACATGACAGAATGAGCTGCTGTTCAACCAAGAATTATCATGGTTTATAGAAGTGGATGCTATGCAGATAAGTCATCCATAATGGATTTATCTTGATGCTTGATTACAGTCGTTAAATTCCCTCATTGACCGAGTTACATGCAGTGTAAATGTAAGCGTTTGGTCTTGAATATTTGCAGCGATGATGTCCCTAACCTGAAGGTTTCTGCTCAGTTCGATGACTGTAGAGAATGCACTCCTTGGCACCTTTTTAAGACAAAGACTTTGAAGTGGATGCTGCATGTTTATGAGCCACTGTCATCGCATGAACCCACCACCTCTGTGAAAATGATTTAAAGAATGCCTTTTAACACACAGTAAAAGCCTGACGGGTGTTTGTTCCTGCAGTTGTCATCTTCAATTGTGTTTTCAGTTCAGATGTTAAAGATGCAGATATTAAACACGTTACTGTTTTCTTGCCTTCTTCACTGCCCTCCTTCCTACTTTATTAATGGAAGGTAAGGGAGGATCACTGGAACATCACTAACACAAATATGAGTGTTTATACTTTTCGAGTGTTTCTTTTTGATCTGTGTGGATGTGCATGCGTGTGGACATTTTTATTCAGTTGTGTGTTGGTGTCATTTCTGTGTAAGTCTGGTTATAACTGATCAGGTTTTGATATGCATGCACATGATATGATGTCAGTGTGGTTAATGTAGGCTACTGAATAGTCTCATTTAATATGAACTGGTTTGATTACAGTTGGTGGAGTATATTTTAAAATTGTGAAGTTTAATCTTTTTTTATTTATACTTGCAACTTTCCACAAAGTCGCTCCAGCACTTGTTCAGTTGAGTGTTAGCTGTATCACACTGAAATAAATCACTGGCACTTCATGCCACTCTGCTTAAATTTATGAGAGACAACTTCTTAATTTTGTTTTACTTGTATTTAACGTTTATTGTTTGAACTATGCTCAAGAATAGTGATAATATAGAGGATGATTTTACCCCAGAATAACATTGAAATTGTTTTGTTGTAATGTAACCAGGAACATTTTCCAAAGAGAAAAGTAAATGGGAAATCTGAAAATGTAAAGTTAATTAACAGTGCTTTAATTAGAAATAACAGCAGACAAAGGTTATATTTATAAAACACAAAAAATCGAACTAGAGCAAGTGCAAGTGCCTCTAAATATCCAAATTTTCTTTAACTGTTGCGATGTTTTAAAGTGTGTACAGGTCACAGTTGTCAAATCTATGGAGGCTAATTTCTGCCAGTAAAAGATAAAAATAGATGAGGTTATGCATGATTTAAAAAGAAAAAAAAGTACTGGTCGTCAGAAATCAAGATGGAGATACTATGTTAAAATTATAGTAATAGGTAGGTAGATAGTACAACTTTTAACTTTTTACTAACTACAGTTTTTGAATGATATACTATACTTTTGAGGAACCATTACATAATTTTAATGTATTTTCTCATAAATCTGACTCACTGATTTTGACTGAATTAAGTCACTTTTACTGAGTATTTATCATTTTTATTATCATGTTTAATTATCAGTCTGTTTATGTTTTCATTCTTTCTTTTCTTGGCGAAAATCAGCTTCCATACAACATCAACAATGTCCTGGGAGAAAAAGCTGAGGATGTTGGGGGTATTATTGGGCTCTTTAAAAAAGTCTGTGTATTTAAACAAATTAGAAAAACACAAAATGGAAAAAGTTTTTTTTAAAAAGCCCTCAGGGCAAGTACATGCTCCAGAGGAGTTATTTTAGTATTAATACTCGAAAATGTTTCCGAATTTGTAATCAGGTTTTTCTGTTTTCCAAGTTTACTTTTCATTTTTAGTTTGCTATTTTTATATGCAGCAATAAATATAAAATTTCCTTAATCAACCTGATTATCCCCACTGGTGGAGAAACAATAGTTTTAGTTGAGAGGTTGTTGTTTATATAACAGTTAATCCAATTAATATTCATGTAAAATTAGGTGGACCTGATAAACCTTTGTTGGACCGTGTTTTGTTTTAGTTTGTCCTCGTGACTGAGTGATCTCAACCACTGTTGTGTTTGGGGGATATTTACTTTTCAGACAGTGTCCTTACCATCTTGTCTTTCTGTCTTTCAGCATGCAAAACTTTACTAAACAAAAAGTCGGACGGTGTGAAGGTAAGTCCTCTGACCCATGAGGGTTTTATCTACATTATTTCTCCTGTCTTACTTACTCTTCCTCTCTCCTGTTGTCTCCCTTTTGATCTGTCACCCTAAATACTCTCTAACAACATGTATCTTTAATATTATGAGCATATGGAAAAGTAGTATGTTCTTTAAGTTGGATTACTTTTGTGCTTTGGTGCTTCTTTATTAGTTTTACTATTAAATGTGACTTAAAGGGAAAAGGATTGATTTTAAAAATACAGTAGCAGCTTGATCATATTTATGAGTTAGCAGTTAAAGGTGGGGCACAGATAATACAGATTAAAGTGAAAGTAAGGGACTTAATAAAGACCTGTAGGCTTTTAAAATGCTGTTTGTTTTTGACCACCAGGTTTTTCTTTGATTCACAGCGATTTGAGCCACCACTGGGTCTTGGTGCTCATTTGTTTTGATCGACAGTCAGCGTCAATGCATGCAGTGAAGCGCCATAATCAACAAGGGCCAAAATAAAATTCCCATTACATACAGTGAATTAAACAATAGCTAACCCCCCCCAAAAAATAAGATCTCCAAAACATTATACAAATAAACTGCACGACCAATGATTTAAATCCTTTAGTTGTCCTTGAAAAATTAACTCCCTGTACTGTTTTAGTAGCTGATTGTTTTTTTTCTGCTGAAGCCCTCTTAGTGTCCCTTTGTCTCATCTCTGTTCCTGTGTAAGCTTGTGTAGCCGTTTTGTTTTCTCTCTTTCTGGGATCAATCTGGCAGTTTCACTTTTTTACTATTTTGATTAGTTCCTTGTTTCCCGATGACCCCTTATTTTTTTCCTCCTCCTTTCCATTGCTGTCTGTCAGAAAAGGAAGTCCAGCTCGAGTGTTTGTTTGATGGTGAGATCGGCTCTGTCGTTTTTCGTTCATTTTTCATTCTTCGTCTCTCCGAGTCTTTTCCCCCTCCGGTTCTCCCCTCCCCCCTCTCTGTTTCATTTTATTCCTTTTGGGCAGAGATGCTTGAGGCGTTGTCTATGACAGTTTTTGTCTTGTTCTGATTTCTGTTGGATTTCCTGACTCCATCCAACATCCCTGCATCAGCCTTTCTGCCATAAGTGCCACCAAAACCATTTCAGCTGCTGACAGATAACACACACACACACACACACACACACACAATCACCCTCAAGAGTTATCCTCTCCTGATGTCTGACTCATCCACTTATGGATAATATCAGGCATTTTGGCCTACTTACCAACATCCCTGACCATCACAGGAGTGAGGGACATTTTATTTACTGTAAGCATCAATATACAATCATTTCCCCTTTTTTCAATTATTATTATTTATTGTACCCTCATTATTTTTCATTTGAGTGAACTTTTATTTTCTTTCCCTCTACCTGTAAATAAAACAGCTGTCTTGGTCACCTGCAGATAATCAACACCGCTGAACTAGAGACAGTTCAGGACTGATATACAGAGAATGTGGTGTATTTAAAGTTAAAACATATAAAGATATTGAGATTAATTTCAGTATTTCTTAGTGATTTGGTCTTTTGATCTTTTTAAATAGCTTTTCTTTCACTTTATTGGATTTTCAAAATAAAATAGATATGTATATGGTTTGTCACTCGTTAGAAAAGTAAGATATCTGATATCTGATACAATAAATTAGTTCAGCACTAATACTTAATAGATAATTTAATTTTCCACTTCATACAAGAAGCCAAACTTCTCAATTGTTAAAGAGAACTCTGCTCTCAAACTCAAATCCAAACTCAGATCAAATGGTAAAACTAAGCAGTGCAGATCTGATACAAACCAAGATTATGTGACTGTATTGCCTATTTCTCACCTTAAATATCCCCAGAAACATATTTCAATGCACTGTTTAGCTGTAATCTGAGAATTTCTGCACAGTAAGTGGGCACCAGCCTGTGCCCTGTAGTGTTAAAACAGAGGCTGAAAAAGCTGAGATCAAACAATAAAACTAAGCAGTGCTGATCAAATATGAACCAATATTATGTTTATGTGTTGCCTGTTTCTCACCTAAAATGTTTTCAGAAACATAATTTAACTTACAATTACACTGTAATTCAAGATAGTTTGTTACCAGCCAGCCGCCATTATGTTTCCTGTGTCAAAATATCCAAGCTCACTTTATGTCACCCGCCAGCAGGGGCGGTTATTGGTCTGGTACGGCGCAGTACATTCTAGTAAGTGTAGGTTCTTCACCTCCTGTTTCCTCTGGTCATGTAGCACCAATTTAAAAAGAATTTGTCTTTCTATTACATAGACAGCCCAGTTTTATGAAAAGACCATCCTTTCAGCAGTGAAATACTTGTTGCCTGACAACATACAGCCATTCAGGAACTTTGAAATCATTTCAGCTAAAAAAGTATTGAGCTTTCATGCCCAGCCTTAATATAACAGTTTCAGTTATAAATTCTGTATCGTGCTGCTCTGAACTTTTTAATCCTTGTGAATGACCTTTTTGTGGTGGAAAAAAATCATCTCAAACTTTACATACAAAAGTCTGCACTTTAAATCCTTGAGTTCTGTGAAAGTGAAATTAATTCTTATTTTTCTAAAGAAATGTTTCTTAAACACCTTTTCCAGTTGCTCAACAGCACTGAAAATGTACTGAGTAGTTACCAAGTATGAATGTGTGCCAGTGGAAAAGAAGGCAGCCTTTTCTGAGTCAATACATCATTAAAAGGCGAGAGCAAGATCGTGTATCAATTCTAGCACATTCGACTTCCTTAAATGGTTATTTCTGACCCTGTAACATAATTTCAAGGCTGTAGAAAATGAACACCAACAAAGACTTTACAGTTGTAGCTTCATAATGCTGACTGTGAATTATGTTGCTGAAATATAGTCTGCATATTTGCACTTCTTGAAGGAAATGTAGTTTGCCTTGTCGGCCTCAGTGTTGCACATTAGTTTTTCTGTTAGAAGATGTTCCTAGTTGGCCGGGGAGACTGCCAAAATACTTTTTAAAGCCACACTTGGGTATTCACTCATCTCAAAGTTGTAGAAAAAACATCTAAAAAACCTCCCAGCACTTTGCTCTTAACCTTTCATTAACCATTCGTCCACACCTCTTAACTTTCTTGTGGGAATACTGATTTGCATTCAAGAAACTACTCTTTCTCCTTCCCCTCAAGTTAGCCTGAGGCCGAGGGGTAGAGTCCAGCTCAAGCTGTGTTTTCTTGTTCACATCACACATTCCATATTTAATCTGCAGCTATAATCTGCACCTCTGTTGTGTAGAAGAACCACTGCTCTGGTTTAAAACAGGATCAAAATAAGTATTTGAGTGAGCATTAAGTAAGATAATACAGGTGTACTCCATATATTTAATCTTTTGAATTACACTTCCGTAAAGCTGAGATAAAAAAGTAGTATGGGTCAAGCCCAGAGACACTAGATCCTACATTTCCCATAATGCAACCAATACCATCTTTTTGTTAGGCCCTCCCTGATTGTTTTTCATACTCCTCAACTTTCTATTAATACTTGTAGTCTCCAATCCCAAACTGAGAAACCAGATGATTTAGACACACATGATTTATCATTTAGACATAGAAACCAGGTTGGCATCTCATCATTACCAAGGCTGCGCCACCTTTTTGTTGACAGAAATGCTATTTTTCATAAGGAGAAAAACAGGAACATGCTGAAAAGCTGTTTTGTAGGGCATAGGACATCTGTACATGTATAGACATCCTGTGTTGGGTCATTGATCCAATTGGATGCAGCAAGGCTGAAGGGGCATGATGGCCATCAACCTTTATTTATTAAGGTATTGTGAACTCTCAGGTTCAGGCAAGGTAGGAAAATAATTATTAGACTAGTCTACAAAGCAAATTTTGTTTAATAAGAAATAAAGACATACAAACTTGTAAAACTTTTAATCCAAATGTGTGAAATTACACTGACATCCCCCAAAAGGGGCATGTTCTTGATGTTTTGTGAAGTACCATATATGTGGGTTTGGTCTTCTGGCACATGCATCTAGTTGGCAGCGGGAATATCTAATGAGCGGGAGAAGTTAAGAAGTGCTAGCAGTTTGCTTTTCTGCAAATGCCTGGAAAGTGTGTGTCTAATAATGCAGTTCTACAGCTGTATCACTATGTAGGCCTATCCATTATAACCTATTTAACTGAATTCATGGAAATGGGATAAATATTATGGAAAAGTTTTGAAAATGTAATGTTGGTAACAGTGTGTGGGAACCCTGATTATAACTGACTCTCAGAATGGTACTTAGAATGACTACTAAACCTGCCCTTTATCTGTAAAATCAGTGGAGTTCCCCTTTAACAGTAAACAGACCATTTATTGCAATTATTGTGTGCATATGGGAATTTTTGTTTTGTTTCTCATAAATTATGACTTTTATCAGTGGAATCACTGCAATAGAATTAGCAAGAATGTATTTATATTTACTTAAACACAATATAAATACATCTTAATACCTTCGAATGTACTTAAAAATCATGACTTTCATTAAATCCATTGATTTCCCAGGACTGCAGCCAGTGAATGTGACACTCATTTTTTCAGTTTAATTAAAACTTGTGCTCAGTAGGGTGCACCAGTGCAGTTGAAGTAAAGTTCATTCAGTAAAACTATATTGTGATAGATTGTGCAGGAGGCTGTGTGAGGGTTGAGGTTAACTAGTTGCAGTTGCAGCTATGCTAAAGTAGATTTGTGGGTAAAATAGGCTTTAATGTTGTCTTCAAGCTGACCTTGCATGAGCTAGAGAAGGGCGATAACAACGTACGGTACATACCTACATGCATGCACACACTATTCTCCACAATTAGAGAACAACCTGTCATAAAGGCCTTTCACTGCATGCACAGACCTGGACTGGTAACCATTATTATAAACTTATTTTCTGCATATTTTTGGCTGTGTTTCTGCCAGAAATGGCTCACCAATTTCTAGTGCTTGTTTTAGATACAGATTTGTGATTTCTCCTTTTATCCCAGCAGATGTTGATTTTACCTATTTCTTAAATGTGCTGGGAAAATACCTAAAATCCAATCTGAAAATATGTTCATTGTTTAAAAAAATGCATGTGCTGACTAACTGTTCTGTATTTGTACTTTTTCTTTTATCGTTGTTAAATGTCTGCAAAAGTTGTAGACATTAAATGCAGGCATACGCCAGGATGCTAGACTCAAAAGAGCCCTCCGATCGTTCAATACACAGCTTTATAATAGAAATAAAAATATTTATTAAACAAGTTAGAAAGTCAGTGCGCTCACATTGTTGTTGAAGCAGGACATTTAACCTGTTTCAACTAGTTCCTGATGATCAAATGAAGATTATTCAGAAGCTACATGCACAACAGACAGGAGAATACAACAACAGCTGCCCTTTAAAGTGCACAAAGCAGCAAGGTGCAGCTGATTGATCCGTGTAATGGCTCTGTTCCTGTTTTCGACCTGAGATTCCCATAGGGTGGTTTATGGTTTAGACCCAGTGGGAGCAGCGGGAGTCATTCTGTGTTGTGTTTCTTTGCCCCAGTCGCAGGGAACCAACAGTAAAAACAGTGTAGTAAGCAGCAGCAGCACCAAAGACAGCAGCATGTCATCTTCAGCACCAATGGTACCTCATCTCTATTTGGTTTCTCTCACATTGCTTTTTTTTACAGCATCATTTCATTGTTCCCACCTTTTTAATGTTAAGTTCTGTCTCCTCATCTTTTCGTGTCTCACCCCATGTTAAGTGAAATCTTGTACTTTGTCCTCTCTCTCGTCCTTCATTCTCTGCGTCTTTGCTTCTGTTTTGAACACAAACTGTGATGTTGGAAGGGGATTTGATGACTTTAAAATTGAACGACTGGTTTGCGCCTTCGAGTGTCTCCCCTGGCTCGTGTTTTACCCAGACCTCCTCTGGACACACTCCTATATATATTTACACAGTGCACTACACTGACAGGTAGACAAATGACTTTCATTTTGCGGTACAACAGCAGACACTTCAATCAAGTTCTGCTCAGCCACATTCTGGTGACTCCTTGTTGATGGTTTGCCTTTTAAGAAAAACAGGTTTATGGCAGTTTTCTTGGAAAGCAACAACAACAAAAAAGTTGAACCTGTACTGCATCAAAAGACGGCATTTTACAAATTGCTCTTGGATATGTGAATGTGAAGGACTTCTGGGTGAAACAGGAGCTGGAGTGGACGGGTAACAGAGATCACAATTGTATGAGGATGCAGCCTGTGTTCATATGTATGATGGGATTGAGCTTTAACATAAAATAGAGCTTGAACAAGACAAATCAATGAAATCATTGAGATCTTTAAATCGAAATTAAGCTCTTACAGTAATGCCAGGGGTTTTAAAATATATTTGGTGGTTGTTAATCCAGCCTGATATGATAGCCAGAGATTATACTTATTACTAAATATATTTAACATAGTTCCAACAGTGAAAAGCAGGAATACTCAACTCACATTGCCCAGGGTCCACACAAAATGACAGGAAGCCAGGGGCCAGTTTATAAACAAACATTTATATTTAGTATATAGATAAATAGACCTCTGTCAGGGGGGTCCGTGGTGATACATTGTTATGCGCTCTTGCACTTTATTTATATTCAAAGTACAGAAAATCCCCCCAAATTCCCAGTGAGAATCAATTCATTTTCATCGGTGAATCAGAAAATGGTTGGTGGGCAACCCTGCACCCCATCGTACAAGGGCTGTATGTTGAGTATCACTGGTTTTAAGGAATAATTCAACATTTTGGGAAGATGACTTAGGTCTCACGTTAAGTACTGAGCTAGAGCAGGAAGCAGATTGGCTTAGCATTAAGACTGGAAGCAGGGAGAAACAGCTGGTCTGGCTCTGTCCAAATTCCCGACTGTTGTTAGTTTCACATTTTCTATTGTCTGGCAAATAGCATCATGTAAAGCAACAATGCCACAATGTGTTATACAAATCAAACAGACTTAATGTATTAATCACAAAGCTTCAGATTTACCATACAGATATAGCGGTGATGTTGTTCTTCTCATGCAGCACTCTGCAAGAAAGTACACATACATGATGGACATTGTTTTCTACATAATGCCAGTGCTGAATTCTGCACACCGGATGTTAGTAAGCTGTTGATGCCAAACTATCAAAATTGTGAAAACTGAGGCAAAGCATTGAGCTAAGTTTGGTTAGAAATTTCCAGGCTAGATTCCCCCATAATCCCATATGTCATTGAAGGGGCTGGATGTTCTAAGGTTGTAGTTTCTGGATGTTGGGTCCAGTGGTGATAGGGATCAAGAGACTGACTGACTGACTGACTGACATACTGACTAAACCAGTATATCGTGGGTTTGTTTGCCAAACAATGCAGTACTTGGGGTTACTTGAATTTGCTTTGTGCTGAATGTTTCTGTGGCAGGGTCAAGGTTGGGGATGAGGAGTGGTCACACAAACACACAGTCATCATGCTTAATGGTAGGCTGTGATGGGGACAAATTCACGTGGGTCATAACTCAAAAGTGTTTGTGACATGCAGGTAATAGCTAGTGTGCATTTACTAGCTTAGCATTAAAGCCAATAGCATCTTTCAAACTATTCTACTTAGGCGAGAACAGCTTTAGAATTGGGACAGCGACACTTGGAAAACACAAAAAAGTCAATACTGTGGCCTCAGTTTACAACTTTATGTCTTTATGCTGAATGGCTGACACATTACAGTAAACAGGCCTTCATCAGACCGGACGATGATTGCTTCTGCTTCAGAAAGAGGAAGATGGCACTCATATGGAGGCTTGTTGCCAAAGCAGAAGTAATAAAATGGTCTTTTCTGTGTTTTTTGAGTGTTGCAACCTTAGATCCTCATTGCATCAGTGTTGGTTTTAAGATACTTTTGTAATTATTAGGCACTATGTTGGATATACCAGAGTTGTAACTTCCATTTGGATATTGAAGCAAACTGCATTTCAAAACTGTTGAATAACCTCCAGGTGACATAAACGTGCACTCACACTTACATGCACACACAGCCACGTAACAGAAACCCTTGTCCTCTGCCATGGCCCTGGCTGGTGAATATGTGTTTAGCTGTGTTCACGGCTGTTTTCATGCTTTTCGGAGACTCTAAATGATCCTATTCCTGGGAACACACTGACACTGAGCACCCTGACATCTACAGCCATCAGTTGAATCACCACAAATGCTCCACAGCCTCTGTACTGTAGCTCCCGTGCTTTTGTTTTGGTGTGCGCACATGCGTCTGTTTTATGTGTTTGTCGCCATTGAACTCGTTGGTATTCCCTGGCATCTTCTCCGGTGCCCATCTCCCCCACCCACCCCCATCCCCTCCCTGCATGGTAAAGTGTCTCCTACCTCCCCCCCAGGAAGCCCAGACAACTGTTGTACACAACCCAGCTGATGGCACCAAGGTAAGCCCCTCCTTTTCCCACCTCTAGCCACCAGCCACCACTAACACACACACAGGTAACTCGTGGAGGATTTTCTCTAAATACACTCAATACATCGCTGTCAGCTATAACGACTCTACGCTTCATTGAGCACCTAATGTGAGCTGGCTTCTGTCAGCGTGTTTCATTATTTCTCTTCCTGTTTACCAGAAGGAATTTCACAGGAGAGTCGGATCCTGTGAACTCCCCAAATCTGGAAACAGATCAGCACAGCTCCTGCTTGTTGTGAGACATGCTCATGTTTTAATGAATGTGAAGGTGCACTATTATGGAGCCACTGGAATAAATGTTTCAGTGTTTTATTATAATCAATTAATACATTAAAAATACTGCACTGCTTATCCATTCATTTAAAGATATAGTAAGAAAATAGAATATTAAATGGCAAGTTTAGTATGTTTTTTTCTTAACTTTGAGTTTATTAATGCACAATTTTAAATGCAAATGTAATAAATTAAAAATACCTTTTAAAGTTAGTCAGTGCAGACTTTTTTGGTTAAAAGTTTTTCTTACGTATCATCACCTAATTTTGGGTGATTTGGCTGTTTGTCTCGACTTTCACAACTTAAACTTTCCTGACATTTAAGTTACTGCAAAGCGAGCGTATGATGTGATTGATGTTGAGCTGCATCAGATAGATCCTGATGCAACTCTTCACGTTGTCAGTGAAGTTACTAGATGATGGTTTAAACAAATATATGGCCTTTAATGTGTGATGTGGTGCCACTGCTCCATCACACATTTGGCTTTCTAAGTTTTCTCTTAAGCTTAAAAACCTGCCATTATTTTTCAAAAGAATTTAATAATTCTTATGACACAAGCAGAAGTATTCCCAGTTTTGGGTGAGGTGCCTCCACTGTAAAACACTCCAGAAAACCCTGAATTGATTATGATTAAACACTGCACAATTATCGAATTACTCAGGTGGTACCATCAGGATCCATACAGCATCACCACGCCAAATTTATATAAAAGAGAAAATCCTACACATACTGTGTTTAACAGCAGCACTATCACACATTAATCTTCAAACACCTGTATCAGAGACTTTACTAAAATAGGCACCAACTGCCATGCTGCTTGCGCTGCTACGTTGGTGTACAAGCTTGCAAAACACTAGTGTCACTAGATATTCAAATGCCAGTGCTGTTTCACAGTTTTCTTTACATTGACACTTTTCTGACTTGCTTCCTCTCAAGCAGCACTGACACACTAACACGCACTCGCACACTCCTCCCTGTCAAAATTAGTCACACCATTTTAAATTCCTCACACACTTTGCTGCTCATATATGTGTGGCTCTCTGCGCTTCCCCTCGCTGCTGTCCTGGCTGGTTTGTGCTCCTGGGAGGGAGTCATTCACCTGTCCATCTGTCCATCAGGTTGTCTGTATGTCCCTATGGTCCAGAGCTTCCCAACCCTGTCTCACTTACACATGAAAAAATAATTTGTCTTGCTATTTCTCTTCTCCCTCCGTCCATCTACCTCTCTTTCCACCTCTGTCTTTCCACCCTCTCTGTCTGACAGGGCTCCACAGAGAGCTGTAATAACACAGAAGAGGAGGAGATGAAAGGTAGGAAAGGTACTTGTCCAACTTTCACCTACTCTGCATGCCTCTCTTTGTTCACTTGATAACTTAAGTTTTGTCACTGTGTAGAACTCAGATAGAGAAATAAAACAATAATTCACTTTATATTTGAGGTAATGCATGTCTACTGGGCAGAGGTTTCAGGCAGCTGTCAGCTCAGCTTCAGTCAAGGTCATGAAGGCTTGGAGATCCACTAGGTTTAGTAGCTAAAAAAAAAGACAGATGCCTTTGAGCATCACAGGAAAGACAAATATGACATGAAGAGTTGGATGTAAACATTGTGCATGTATGGGGACTGATGACAGTGCTGCTATCTTGTTGACTGCTGTCTCCAGCTCCATGCTGTTCAGTTGCACCAGAGCAAAACTCTTTGCCTCATTGTCACCGTTGGTGTGCGTGAGTGTGTGCATGCCAGCATCACACGCCACTTAAGCCTTTAATCAGTTGTCTTCAGCTCAGTGATGACCCTATAAATGTTTTCAGGTGAATGAAGTAGGACAGAGCTAACTCCAGGAAAGAGTTAATCCAGTTAGTTAAGGCAGCTTTGTGTGGGTTTACCAGCACTCGATCTTATAGTGGCTCATCACTAACATGCAATCAAGAGCCTGTTGTCCTCTGTGTTTCTCTCAAGTTGAATGCACTTATTTTAAGTTGCTTTGGATGAACGCATCTGCTACATGTAATATAATTTCTGTTGTCTACTCTGAAATACAAACACTGTCAGGATGCATCAGCAGAGTGTAGGTTGCCCTCTAACACAAAATCACAAGGTCAACAAAGGACAGGACACTAAGATGAGGCAACGAAAGTCTCATACTTTGTATCTGCATACCAACTACTCTGTGGCTTACAAGTTTCTCTGCAGCCTTCTGCACCAGCTGATAGTGAGTTTGACTATTTGAGGAACTTAACACTAACTGCTACGTTGTAAATTTTTAGTTTCACATTAAACTCCTGACTTTGATCAGTTGCACCATCTCTATTTACGCCACAGCATATAGAAGTCAACCAAACAGTGTTGCAAAGAGGGACGTTTCATCTATGTTTCATCTGCAGCATTCAGTTCTCCTAAAGAAAATCAAGCAATGCAAGCGGCAGTTCTCATCTTGAGTGAATGAATCATAAAAAATAAAGGTCTGCACTCTTATATTCCAAATAATGGACAATATTTTTGTTTTTAACATCTGTTTTTCTTTGACTTATCACAAAAAATGTGACATTAAAATGTGAGTGTAAGGGGTAGTAGCCTGTTGGTTACACAGTGGAGGAAAAGGTACATCAAGTGGTTATAAACTAATGTTAACAAAACAAATTATTTCTTGTACCCCTATTTCAGTTTTGTTGAGTCACAACTTAGTGGAACTTATGAATATTTTATACGGTAATATTTTGCATCTCTGTTCTGTGGAATCAAACCTGAGTGTGCATGTAGGTTTTAAATAATATCAAAAGTGTGTTGTCTGCTGGTGCAACAGGCTGCTGATCTCCATGTGGCTACAAGAGGTTTGCTTGTCCAACTTACTTGTTTCTGGATATCTGGTGTCTGGATCAGATTTGACTACTTCTGTGTTTGCAGCAAGTTTCCAACTCACTGCTTTCCATATCAGTGTGGCGTCGTCTTCTTTGTGATTTACGATACAATGGAAAGTTTAAAAAGTGAACAAAAAAGTTTTGATAATTTGAAGCAAATATCTAATCTCAGATCTGCTCAAATATGAAGATTTGCTGCTTTTTTGTATTTATGTCAACGACATTGAATACTTGGGACTTTGCTCAGACAAGACAAGCAATTTGAAGATGTCTCATCGGGCTGTGGGAACTTGTAATTAGGGCTGAAAATAATGATTATTCTAATTATTGATTAATCTGATGATTATTTTCTTTGTCAGGAAAAAAAGAAGACTGCCTGTTATAATTTCCCACAGCTGTAGGAGATGTTTGTAAATGTCTTGTTGACACTCAGTTCAGTAGTGACAGAAAAGCGGTGACAGTAGGCAGTAGTAGCTGCTACTACCAATTTTTTGATTATTCAACTATTTTTGGAATTTTACAAAATATAAGCATTTGATTGAATTAAAATTATCCTCAGACTTTATTTGTGTTTGTCTTATGATGGGGGCAGTGGCTGCCTCTGAGTCTGCTGGTACAGACAGTGGAGTGTTAAGCGAGTGCAGCGCTACTGAGGAACAGACCCAGACCCTGTCTCCTCACTGCCCTCCACCCACCTGTAAGTCTGCAGCAGTTTACCTGATTCAGCTCTTAGCTCTGACCTTTGTGTCCTGACCTTTCCTCAACAAACAAATCTATACTACAAGCAAAACAAGACATGTTGCTGTCAAAAAGGCTTTTTATCTTCACTCTTCACCAACTCACTGCACAAGTTCCCCTCTGCCCTCCTGTGCTGCCATCTAGTGGCAGCCAGGCCTGACTGCAAGCTACTGCTCCCCCTCTAAACTTTCAGACATTTATCTATAACTGTGTCTGGAGTCTGATTTCCTACTTCTCTGCTTTTTGCAGAACAATCAATGTTAAATACCATGTAAATAAATAAATTCATGTCGTCTCAGCTTTGCTAAATATGACTTTATTTTACTGGGATGACTGGACCGGCCTGCAGCTGGTCCCCTGCAGGAGGCTACTAGCAGCCCCAGTGTCCTTCAGACCAGTCCAGCTCAGAGCTCCCGTCCTGAACCAGAGTCCGCTCTGTCACCTCCCGCAGGCAGCAGCCGCAACCTGCTGCAGAGTAAGTGCCAGGTCGTGCAATGCTTCTTCAAAGGCTCCTGTTCATAACGTCTGTTCTAACTTTTTGTGCCGCCTGATGGCACAAGGTTTGAGGACTTATGAACACAGAGTTACATGCAGATGTGGAGGATTTGTGAGCTGTTTTTTCTGGCTCAACAGCTGCATGTTCAGTGTGTATGCATGCAGTTTGTGCTTTTCTAATGAGTTCATCCCACATTCTCTGAATTCCTTATGTATTTTAATATTTACTGGCCTGCTCCCAAAGAATCTGGCTTTTTAAAGTTGACACATTGCAGCTGATTTTATTTGTGTGGGTTTGTGTGTTTGCACAGTGAAAGATTTTTGGAGTTGTCACTTGAGAGTTGGTTTGTCTTCTCAACGATTTGTTGTTGTTGTTGATATCTCGAAAATTTGTTGTTGCACATACATCAGCCTGATTGAGCCATTTTCACTGGACATCAACAGATGGCTTCTTTCTAGGATGTTAGCAGCAAAAAAATCAATCTTAGCATGTGTCCTGTTTGTGGTGAAGTTTTCAGAAGTAGTCTGTTTCTGTTTTTGAGGGGTAACTGAGCAGAACGACGTAAATAAATACCTCCAAAAAGTCAGATAACTTGCTCTACTGATCAGTAGAGATGTTCATGAATGGGAAAGGTTTTATTGCTTATTTGTCAATTCTTTTTTTTTTTTTTTTAATAAAACCTGCACATGAAATACAAAGTCTTCATACTTACTGTTGTATGATAATTTAATGTTTTTTTTAATTGTATATTTGTTTAAGTAATTATGAGTGATTTTTGGACTTTTGTTAAACCTTAATTAAAATACAGCAAGTAATCAGGTAAGTACATGGCGGCACTGATAAGGTCACTAGCTTTTTATAAATAGCATCCTGAACACATAAAATAAGAAAGTATAGGCAGAGGGCAGAGTCCTTGCAGAAAAGTACACTGCCATAAATGAAATGTAATAATAATGAAATGTGAAAAAATAATTTGTCCATTGTTTTGTGAGACCAAAGAGTTAAGTTAAGGATTCAGTGGACTCTTGAGCATCAATACTCTTGATGGTGTCTCTTACATGGCAAGTGGACAGTCTGTTTTGTTTTCTAAAGGGTGACTTCAAATGTCACTGTCATTATTACCAGAGGGCGGTGCCCATGTGATGAACTCATTTCAAATGTCAGAGGTTTCCAGTGAGTTTAGGGAGAGCATGGTGAGCGGTATTTGTATGTTCAGCTTCCAAATGTCTGACTGTTTTTAATCTCCTCTGGTTGTCTTCCCTCTCCTCCTTTCATTCTCTCTTCTCAGCTCGTAAACAGGAGATTATAAAGATGACAGAGCAGCTGATTGAAGCCATCAACAACGGGGATTTCGAGGCTTACACGTAAGTTTGCAAATGCACCTTAAAAAACACAAGTAATCTTTTAAGGGCTTTGTTTGAGGCTCAGTTTTTTATCACTTTTAACACAAAGAAAATCTTAATTGAAGTGCAAACACACCTTGATGTTGACATAGTTTTAAAAGTCATGTCATCTGATCTGCAGCATTTAGTCCTCCTCATTTTTCACAGCAGGATAAAGTCTTAAGCCAGAGTTTATTTCTGGTTGTGTTTCCTCTGACAGGAGAATCTGTGACCCTGGACTGACTTCCTTTGAGCCAGAGGCTCTTGGAAACCTGGTGGAGGGCATGGACTTTCACAAGTTCTACTTTGAGAATCGTAAGTTGCTCAGCCTTGATTATTTATGTAACATAGTCTTTAATCAATTTACTGTAGTGCTTGTTTGTTCTCTTTGAATATAGTGGACACACTGTAGTAGGCCTTTGTTGACAAGAGTTCAGTCTAAAATTAGTGTTGTGCAATTATTTATCAAAGCAAAAGAAATGTATTTTCTAAAATCAGGATTTAAACAGATTATGGGCTGAAATACAGATTATTGAAAGTGTTGCAGTGGAAACGAGCAGCCAGTGTCACCTGAGAGACAGACTGCAGTTTTGCCAAATTATAGTTGCCCTGTGTTTTCTTACATAAGTTATGTTTTAATTTAGTGATTCTCACCAGAACCTGTTGGGTGTATCCCTGAGAATTAGGGATGCACGATAATCTCGGCACATCATCTATCTAGCTGATAGTGGCTTTAAAATAAATTATCCGAATCGGGCCAACATGCTTGTAATGTGCAAGATGAATGAATATTACATACATTGAAAAGTATTGTATTTTATGTCTCAATCTGCTTGTTGGAGGATCGGAGTATTTCTGGCACCAATGACCAGTCAGTGGAATAGCATGTAAGCATCTGCAGTACTGTGTCCTTGTGCACATGTCTGAATTAAAAACTGCTCCATAGCATTACTAGTGGTGCAAAACTCCACAGGGTAACTTGATTACTTAATTTAATTCTTCTTTTTTTTTGGGGGGGGGGGGGGGGGGGGGGGGGGATATTAAATTTACCAATATAGAAGACTAAGAAAAACAGCAGATATTCACATTTTAGAAGCTGGACCAAAAGAATGTGGGGCATTTTTGCTTGTAAAATAAAAAACAATTTAGTGGTCTGTTGGAACTTAACTTGACAAATTGTTGAATTTGTCTGTTTATTCCTTCAAAAACTTTGATATAAATATATCAGATTGGCAGGAATATTTGCCTATTAAACTCTGCAGTGTGTCATCCTTTACAAATGTGTATTGTGCTGGTAAGAAAAAACTTCGAGGTTCCAAAAAGACATCCCAGTGTCGGTGAAGATTCTCAGTCATCCAGGTCATGGTAATCTTAAATGATAGATTGTAGGCAACTGGACTTGTTTGCAAGTCCAGTTGCCTATGATATAGCACTTACGCTAAATTTTGGTGGAAATGTGTGTTAAATGAGACATTTATAATTATTTATTTTTGTTGCAACATATTTTATTCAAATGCATGTATACATTCACTTACTCCTCAGTTACCTAACAGTTAGCTCTTCCTGCTGTTTGAAGCTGTCAGCATATGTTGCCTATGGTAGCAGCTAAATGCTCTCAAATTGTTACTTGGCGCCACTTCGAAGGGTCCATTTACGAAACAGCTGAACTGCACCTTTCCATCCCCACAGTGCTGAGTAAAAACAGCAAGCCTGTGCACACCACCATCCTCAATCCCCACGTCCATCTAATCGGTGAGGATGCTGCCTGCATTGCCTACATCCGCCTGACGCAGTACATGGACAGCCAGGGCCGGCCGCGCTCCTGTCAGTCGGAGGAGACGCGCGTGTGGCACCGCCGCGATGCCAAATGGCTCAACGTGCACTTCCACTGTTCAGGAGCACCGGCTGCACCACTGCAGTGAACTGACAACCCAGGCCCAGGTAAGGTGACAATGTCTCTCTGTGATGACAGTAGGAAGGCTGCAGTGGGAGAAGGAGGGAGAGAGATAAAGCAAGTGGGGGAGAGAGAGGGTGAGAAGGTACAAGAGGGAGCGGAGGCTAGGAAGGGAGAGAGAAGGAGGGGGAGATTGGGGGGTGAGGGAAAGGAAGAAAAGGAGAGGAAGGTAGAGAGGGGGAGAGGGAAAGGAAATGAAGGAGAGGAAGTTAGGGAGGGGTGGAGGAGAGGGAGGAGAAGCAAAGGAGAGGAAGTTAGGACGGGAGAGTGGAGGAGAAGGAGAGGACTTGAGTGGGAGAGGCTAAGGTGAGAAAGTTAGGGAGAGGTAGGTAGAGAGAGGGGGAGTTGGGAGGAGAGGCAGAGGAAGTGGGGGAGAGGGAAAGGAAGCGAAGGAGAGGAAGTAGGAAGGTAGAGAGGAGGACAGAGAGGAAGTGAGGAAGTTAGGAGGAGAGGGATAGGAAGCAATGAGAGGAAGTTAGGACGGGAGAGTGGAGGAGAAGGAGAGGACGGTAGAGAGAGGGGGGAGTTAGGAGGAGGGAAAGGAAGCGAAGGAGAGGAAGTAAGTAAGGAAGGTAGAGAGGAGGAGAGGGAGGGGAAGCAAGGAGAGGAAGCTAGGAATGGAGAGAGGGAAAGGAAGAGGAGGGGGGTTGAGGAGAGGGGATAAGGGAGAGGAATCAAAGGAGAGGAAGGTAGAGAGAAGGAGAGGAAGTGAGGAAGGTAGGGAGAGGGAAAGGAAGCAAAGGAGAGGACTTGAGGGGGAGAGGCTGAGGAAGTAAGAAAGGTAGGGAGGAAGCGAAGGAGAGAGAGGGGAAGCAAGGAGATGAAGTTAGAGAGGAGGAGAGGGATAGGAAGCAAGGAGAGGACTTGAGGGGGAGAGGCTAAGGTGAGACAGTTAGGGAGAGGAAGGTAGAGAGGGGGAGTTAGGAAGAGAGTGGAGGAGATGAGGAGGGGGTGGGAGGGGGTAAGGTAGAGAGAAGGAGATGAAGTTAGGGAGGGGGAGAGGGAGAGGGAGGTAGCAAGAGGGAAAGGATGAGGAGAGGAAGTGAGGAAGGGGGGTAGGAAGAGAGTGGGGGTAAGGGAGAAAGCAAAGGAGAGGAAGGTAGAGAAAAGGAGAGGGAAAGGAATAGAGTGGAGGAGGAAGTGAGGAAGGTAGAGAGGAGGAGAGGAAGTTTGGAGGGGGGCGGATGAGAGAGGAAGTGAAGAAGTTAGGAAGGTAGAGAGGGTGGTTAGGAGGAGAGGGAGGGGAAAGGAAGCAAAGGAGAGGAAGGTAGAAAGAAGGAGAGGGAAAGGAGGAGGGGAGCGTTAGGAAGAGAGTGGAGGAGAGGAAGTCAGGAAGGTAGAGAGAGGGAGAGGAAGGTAGAGGGGGGGAGAGGGAAAGGAAGTGGGGAAGGAAGGTAGAGAGGGGGAGGAGAGGAAGATAGGAAGGAAGGTGGAGGGGGAGAGAAGGAGGGAGGGGGGAAAGCGAATTAGAGGAAGTTAGGAAGGAAGGTAGAGAGGAGAGGGAAAGGAAGTGAAGGAGAGGAAGTCAGGAAGGGAGTGAGGAGGAGGGGGGAGGAGAGGGAAAGGAAGCAAATGAGAGGAAGTTAGGAAGGGGAGGGAGGAGAGCGTAATGACATTACATTTTAATGACATGAATCAATGACTGATTATTATTATTTAACAGCATGATATACTGTGACCTTTATCTGTCATACTACTGTATTATGACATTGACTCTTTCTGGCAGACTACACTATGAGATATTCTTAATGGCACACTATGACTTTCTTGTATTTTCAGTGGTCTACTTTTATGACATTCCATGAAATACTTATGGTATAATATGACTTATTTTTAACGGCATACTATACTCTTTTTTTACAAACTTTTTAACAGCATACTATGATTTATTTTTATGGCATACTTGGACTTTTTAAAATATATTTAATGGTAAACTATTATGACTGTTATTAAGTATCACATCTTTATGGCATACTATACTATGACTTTAAGTTACTTTTCTATGGCAGATATTTGTGACAACTTTATTATGACATTGTAAACAACATTTTTCATTACATACTACAAATTTTTAGGACATTTGACTTTTCTAATAGAAATATTTATGACAATTATACTGACATTTTAATGGCACTATTATTTTTTTTTAAGAAAAATATGACTGAATTTTTATGCCATACTAAGACTTTTTTTAATGACAAATATTTTATGTTGCTGTCTTATTTTTAATGTATTTAAGCTTTAATAGCATAAATAAAATTCTAGTCACCTCTATTGAACTTAAGGCAGACTTCTCAGAGAGCAATATTTTAAAACCCGAACATCTAAAAACATAAACCATCTGCACAGTCAGACTCCACTGAGGCAAAGTGACAGCATTCACACTAACCTTTCGATTCTTCTCTCTGCAGCTTTGCCTGAACTCTAAAGCTGTTTGGAGCATTTATCCTCCGTGGTCGGATTGGTGCCTGGATCCTGGCCGGGAAGAGGCTGCTTGGAAAGTTGTAAAAACACAAAAGTGGGGAAAATACATCATAAATTAAAAAGAAAAAACAAACAAACAAAAAAAATGCATATTTCAAAAGCTTGACTGAATGACCGACCACACCGACCAACACCAATCCAGTCCTACCCTAGCTAGGTGATGTTGGGGCCCGGCTGACGTCAGCCGCCTTTTGCAGATGGTGCATGTTTCTGGTGGCGACACAGGGTGATGCTGTCCTGGTTCTCGTCTCCCATGGCCTTTATTTCCCTGTCTTTGTTTTGTCTGCTGTCTGGAAAAGTATTAAACATGTTAAAAATATATATTTAACAGAAAAAACACTTCACACACAGTGAATAGAACTGGGGAGGAAAAATGTGATTTCTTTTTGTTGTCTTCAGAGAGCAGCAGAAGGTCTACTTTAGCAGAAGATTGTTTTACAGTTACAGGTATATGTGGGATGGGTTTATGGGAACGGAGCAAATAATATCTACGTAATATCAGAGTTTAACAAGTGTCAGGTCTGAGCATCTGCACACACACAATGTTTCAAAGGGGTTTAGGGATCGTGATTGGTTACTGAAGGGACCTTTATTTTTATTTGTGTTTTTGTATTATGTGTTACAAGCCGTTTTTATCTGAATGATGTATTTTAAAGTATTTTGTGTTAAAAAAGGATAATTTTTAATCAGAAGGGGGATTTTATTTAATAGAACTGTGTATAAATAGATATTTATATAGGAGAAAAGGGGAAACATGATTTACTTTCAGGGTGTAGGGAGGAGAGTTCAGCATGAGCGGGTGATTTTTTTTTTTTTTCTGCTTTGAGGTCCCGAGTTGTAAATATAGAAAACACACCGTGCATGCACACACACACACTCACACACTCAAGGTCCCTGTGCTCCAGCCTGTCGGGTTGAGCCTCTCTTGAGCTTTAGACATGACAAACATCCAGGCCAGCTCATCCTGAAGTTGCAGAAGGCCTCCACCTGTCTGCCCTGCAGTGTTTGAACACTGAGAGGCGCTGTCGCTCACAGTCTAAAGCTCCTCACATCTCTGAACTACCTAATCAAAGCTCGGACGCTCTCTCACGGCAACTTCTTCCTTTTATCTGTTTTTGTGTATTTTTGACGTGAAGCATGAATATTGAACTGTCTAATGGCCTGTACTGTTTTTGCACAGACACTTATGACTCGATGCTGTTGTGTTCGCTCTTTATGAGGGAGTGAACCTTTCTGCAACTTCAGGTTACGCTCGCCAAATCCCTTCTCGTCCACCCTACCTCTGCCCTCCTACTTCCATCATTCCTGCCTCTTATACTCGCCCCATTACTGTCCTAGTAGCTCCACGCCGTGTGATGATGATGATGTCACCCTTATGCCTGTCTCTTGTTCTGATTGTGTTCTTAAAATTTGTATGTCGTCCGTCTTGGCTTGCTGTACTTCTGTGTGAAGTCCTGGCACTATTAAAAAAGCATGTTAAAAAGGGAATGCAGCCAAGGTGTTGGACCAAAAAAAAAAAAAGGCATGATGGGAAGAGGGCTATGCCGGCTGGAGGGCTGTGGGACCTTCGCTGATGGCAATCAATGTACTTGGTCTCTCTGTCACAGTTTCTGTTGTAAGTGTCGTAGTCGTTAGTGTTTTGATGTTTTTATCAATCATTTTAGCCAGAGCTATAAAAAATGAGGGGTTGAAATGATCTGAGGCTGAGACTGCCACAACCCTGTTTTTGTACTGTCCCCGTTCCCCCTCACACACTGATCAACACACACTGAATGCTGACTAAAACACACACACTTCTGTCTAATAATATTGGAACTCACAGCGTCATATAAGCACACGAGATTCTCCCTTTAAAGAGGACGAAACATATCTCTGTGTCAGTGGTTAAACTTTGCAGCACTGTTTTTTCACTGTGTCGTAAAAACTTTGTGAGTGTGTGTGACTTTGTACCAGCGGAGGGGTGTCCCGTCTCTGTGCTACGCTGCTCCATAGTAACTCATGCTCTACTTAGGCTGTTGCTGGTGGTCATGACGATGCTTCAGATCATCACATAAGGTGTCTACGTACGTGCACTGACGCAGTCCAACAGATTTTTAAAAAACGTGACTCATGTGAGACCCGTCCTACTGTATCAACCGCCTGTGCTTCTCTCTGAGTGCTGTGACATATCTGACATGCCATGAAAACTGTGTCTCCCCCTACACACACACACACGTACACTTTTGCACCACCACGACAATGCGTTGTAAAACCATTACTGAAACTATGTGATGTTTTTTATGGCTCTTAGTAGATCTGTTTGTGCTGTGGGCACCGGCCCAGTTGTCTGTTGATGCCACCGATCTGACAAGATGCTTTTCTTTCATTGTGTATTTTCGCAGTCATGGGGCTGTTTCAGTGGAAACTAAGACAGTTGAACTTTACAGGTGAGCTTAAAGAAAGGGGAACTGATCTGAGGGAACAACTAGCTGCAGTCAGTTTGCCGAAGTATTTGGACAGCTGGATCAAGTTGAAATTTGCATTTTGGATCGATTGATATGAAGCCACAATATTCCTTCACAGCAGATTTAACACACAAAGCACAGGTGTAAACAGTGACATAAATAAATGCTGCATCTCCTTAAGTTGTTCCAGCTCCACTGTCCTGGTATCGCTCTCTAGAATGGCTTTCTGGGACACTAAAGGGACAGTTCACCCAACAATAAAAAAAGGCACATCTTTCCTCTTAATTGTAGTGCTGTTTATTAATCTGGATTGTTTTGGTGAGAGTTGTTGAGTGTTGGAAATATCAGCTGTAGAGATGTCTGCCCTCTCAGCTTGTGGTGCTCAAAGCGTCAAAAAAACACATCTGAAAAACTCAAATTTAATGTCTCTTTCCAGAAATCATGACCCAGTTACTCAAGATAATCCACAGACCTTGTTGTGAGCTGTTTCATGCAGGAGCTATTTTCTTTCTACCAAACTACACCTGCCAACCGTATCACTGCGCAGTAGGAAGTAGAAAGAAAATAATTCCTACATGATACTGCTGACAACAAAATGTGTGTATTATCTTAAGTAACCAGGTCATGGTTAATGCAAAGAGACATTGCTGTTGAGATTTTCAAATGTATTTTTTGGCACTCACACACAGTGCCGAGTGACATCTAGTTATCTAGTTATTTCAAACATGTAAGTAGCAAATAAACAAAATAATTATACAGTAGTAGACATTTAAAAAAAAGGTTACTAAAGGAAGCATGAAAACTGCAAACAATAATGATTTGACTTACATTTTCAAGAAGGAGTGGGAGGAAGTACAAACTTATTTATTCCCACCTCTTCTCCATAAATTAATAGTCAGTTATATAGCTCCATCAGTATAAAGCTGTACAGTAATTAATTATCCTAGACCTATTCCAATATATTAAATTAGTTACCTATAATGTGTCTTATGGCAAGATATAAGACAATTATAAAAATTCTATATATGGTCGATATCTCCAAATTCAGCAACTCACACCAAAACAATCTAGACCGATAAACCACACTACAGGTAAGAGGACCTTTTATTTTTATTTTGGGGTGAACTGTCCCTTTAATGGAACAGAGCCATATTTTGTGTCACTGGTTACACCTGTGCTTTTCTCTCCATGACAGTAGGGTCAGAGTTGACAGTAGAATCGGCAGCTGGTGCAGCGAGCACACACAGCACTACAGTGACCTCCCTGCTTCAACTCAAGTGTCATTGAGATCCATTGTGACGCAACAGATTGAATTTTAACAAGACAGGGTATCGACTTCTAAGTCTCACTGATGTAAATAGGAAACGTGACCAAATATAAACTTACCTTTACACTGAGTAGCTTCAGGCTGGGCGCAGCTGCTGCCTATAAGAGAATCAGACATCACAGTAGGTAACGTAACTTGCTGTCTGTGGTTATGCTTCATATAAATAGTTTTGCGAACGTGCGCAAAACTGATAAACTCCATAGTTAAAATACTTTGGCAAATGTCTTAATACGTGTTAGATTACAAACAGAACCTGACTGAAGTGAGGGGAAGAAACATGTTGGACAAAGGATGATTAAAAACCACAATCTTTAACAGCAACACTATATATGCAGTTCTACAAATGGAAGAAATATGCATGTCTACTTTCTGGTAATTTTTCACTGTTTACTTGATAAAGAAATGGAAATCTATGTTACTTGCATCCTCGAGGTTATGAAACGGCTCCATCTGAGATATCCAAACCAAGTGATGTTATCTCACAGTAAAAAGCATAAGCGATTAGCAGAAGCCTTAGCTTGTATGTAAGTAAATTTATTGCATTGTAACCTTGTACTAAAGGGGCTACATGTGTCTATACTCTTTGAGTTTCATTTGGATGCTGGATTTTTTTGCATGACCATACAGTTAATAAACATACATTAAAAACTATAAAGTGTTTGTTTGGATGGTTGTTCTTCATAGCTTTGTTATTACTGGACAATAAGAGTATTTAATAAAACATAGCGTTTCAATGTTGGTGTCTGTTTCTCTCATGTTGCAGATTAAAAGATGAGATTAGTTATATGCAGCTTTTTTATTAGAAAAAATACATATTATACTTAAAGTCTATAACTGTATGTGTGCCATGTCATCTATCAACTTTCAAAGGTATAATGTATGTATGTTTGTATATATAGCCTGTAAATATCTAAATATGTTAAAAATGACTGCAAGTAAACTGAAATCCATAACAACTATTTTAAGGTTTTGTTTTAAACGTTTTAAGACAACACTGGAAAACTGTTTTTGATGATTTTGCATACACTTGTTTTATGTGATATTTTAACAGTATTTTAAGAATATACTTACTGATATGATTTAATTTTAGCTAGGGTTCCCACACATTTTTTTGGAAAATTTTTAAAAACTTTTCCATGACTTGTCAAAGACCTATAATATAATTTCCATGATCATTAACCTATATGTACACGAACAGAACTGTATAGTGTACTTTCCTCCTAAAGATAATTACTGTATGAAAATTAAATTACCTTTTTTAATCTGAAATAGTTGGTTATGTTCATTTCAAAGTACTTAAATTACAGGCACAGTCAATACATTGTCATTTATTTAAAATAAATATCTTCACAAGCACTTCTGTAGTCTGGCACTGGCACTCAAGCATGAGGGGAAACAGGACTGATCGTACTACCAGTGTTGTCTTAATGCATTCGATTATACATTTATTTCTGGATGCAAGTCGGTCAAATAATGCTGCATTGTATGTAGACAGGGTTTGAATACCACCATGGCTTTCAGTGGAGCTCTATTTTTCAGGGATGGGAGGGTACTTTACACATGCACACTCATACATTTGAGAAACAATTAAAATGCTAATGCACTGTGGACAGGCAGTGGTTTCATTAGAGATAAACCACAGGGAGAAAATGAAGCAATATTTGTGATATTAAAACGTTACTTGTTAACACATATTACAGCTACTTTACACCAACAGCTACAGAAATAAATCTGCTGTTATGTTACATTACGTTATCCATGGAAGATCACTGCTACAATTCATTCCTTTAAATACACACTAAAAATACATGATTTTTCTAAAAACTTAAGGATTTTACTAATAACCTGACTTACATGAAATTTAGAATGAAACTTGATGTTTTCCCATGACTGTGGGAACACTGTTCATCCCTTTGGCCCAGCTCTACTGAGAAAAACCATTCCTAATGTGAGAGGAAAAAATTATACCCATTTTGAAATGTTAGTTTAACCCCCTTTTTTTTCAAAAACATGGGAAAAATGGTAATAAGCAACTTGGAAAGGCATGTCCTGCAAATTGCAAGAAAACAAAAGATTCAGAAAATTAGAGTTATATAAATGATAAATAAATAAATAAGATAAAGGAAAACATGTCCAGAAAACTTATTTTCCGGGTAATTTTCTTGTACTTTTTTTAAAAAAACTTTTTATGCTACTTTTTAATTTAATTTTTTTTATTATTATTTTTTCTTCCCAATTTCAGGTATTTTACTTGTAGCTTGTTTTTGCTTATTTTGAGATATTTTTCTTGTGCCTTTTTTTCCTACTTTTTTTGCTACCTTTTACATTTTGTTTGCAAATTTAGGGGTATTTTTCTTGTACTTTTTATTTGTTAACTTTCACGTATTTTTCTAGTACTTGTTTTTACCGATCTTTAGATATTTTCCCTGTATTTTTTTTTTTTTTTTTTCTTACTTTTTTTGTTTTGACAATTTTCAGATATTTTTTTTGTACTTTCTTTTTTTTTTGCTAGTTTTCAGGTATATTTTTTGTACTTTTTACTTTTTTTGCTAAATGGTATTTTTCTTGTTCCTTTGTACTTTTGCTACTTTTCAGGTATTTTTCTTGTACTTTTTTCTAATTTCTTTTCGAGTTGCTCAGCGACTTCTTCCCATGTTTTTCACCGAATTCAAGACAATTTTCTGAGGATTCAAAGGGTTAAAGGGAAGGTTGTCCGTCTTACAGTAATTCACACAGCCTAATATCTGCTGTTGTATTTTTATATTAATCATATACTGTATAAAAATGAGATTAATCTGTTCTAACTGCAGTACTGACAGTCACCTGTAGGTGGCGCCAAAGACCAGACAAAGCCACCAATATGCTGCACAGACGTCACAAGACAAGCGGCAATTTTTCTGGCATAAAACCAACAAGTGCTCATGTGTGCAGTCAAACAGTTTTGCATACTGTAAACATGTCTCCTGCTCACACTGGCAATTAAAAGATCATTTTCTAAAGCAATTCCAAAGTGATGAAGGCAAAATACACAGTTTATTCCATCTTGTGGATGGCTCACTGCATGAGTGAAGTATACTCTCCATCAAAACATAAAATGACAGATTATATTCCCTTCCATCTCTCTTCCCCTCCTTTCTATTGGTGTTTCACTTCCTTGTTTTTTGACCAATGGGCTTGCACATTGGAGCAGTCGCCCCCTCACTAAGCTCATTACTGTAACATAACTCAGGTGTGTAAGACAGAGCAAACAGTGACTGATGAAGACCTGAGTCACAACATGTTGATCTTTTAATCTATACTGTCATGTAAAATAAAGTCATTTTAATTTTTGCACAAACTCTACAGTGTGATTGAGAGTATACTTCACTCATGCAGTGAGCCTGTCACAAGATGGAATAAACACAGTGCACCTCAAGTATCCAAAGAGTGTATGTGACTTTTACTAAGACAGAGCAGTGCTTCTACTCCTTTGTCTCCACAGTCCCTGTGTTTTGCAAAAAATAAAATAAAATATAAAGTTTACCTGGTTGTCCTCTAAAAGTAGCACAGAATACTTTGTTCTGAAAAGGTCTTTGTCTTTGGGAAGGACGAGGACTGTGGATTGTGTCTCGTGTTGGGAAGAGATATTTTAACAACCAGTGTGAAGAGGAGTGACAACAGCAAGTGAAACTGTTAGTGTCTAGGGTTATGAACACGAGTATTTTAAGACAAACCTGGAAAGACTGTGTTTCTTCAGCTTTAGCTTCTGGGGTGAGGGTGTGAAGATGTGTTTCCATACCTCTGATTCATGGTGCTATCTTTCCTCAGTCACTCAGGCAGGGCAGGGTATGTTCCCCTGTGTTGGCTCACAGCAGGCAGCCATGTTGGACATGATGTATAGAGATGAAATATTCCTTGTCAAATATAGTATGAGGGGAAAAAAGACCTCTGCAGCACAGGCCAAAGGGGGGAACAGCAACAAGAAAAATTTGGAAGCTCCTCGCAGATCCTGTTCATGTCCCCATCTGCACGTTTGTCTGTCTGAGGCCCTGCAGAGCCTCACAGGTGTTCTCACTCACTGATTAGAGCGCTGCTCAGCAACACTGGGACTCCATCAGTGTCTCAGAATGCTTGTACTTAGAATGGAAAAGATTGAAGCTGTCCAGGCAGACAGGTGTAACAAAACTGACAACATAAAAAGGGAAAATGTGAATCATGCACTTTCTGAGCTGAGAATCAGCTACAAGAAGTGAAAACACCTGTGAGGGGAGTTTGCAGGTGTGCAGGAAAGATTTAATCAATACTTCACTCCTTTCAGGCAAGGAGCTTCTCTTTGATGTGAATGAGCTCTGCAGAAATGGTCAGCTCTTCTTACAAAAAAAAAAAATTACAGTTGAAAAATACCTGATATTAGACCTGAAAGTAGCCAATTTTATTACACTTTTAAAGGGAAACTTCACCAATCTGACACGTCAAAGTCAGTTTACAGACCACAAGGATCTTACCAGATCTCTGCTTGAGGCTTAAGGCTACATTAGCCACTACTAGCATTACACACCCAAATCTCCTACCTGATGTTGACGGTCACATTGCATTGTGGGTAATGTAGGCAGCAGGTTTCGACAAGAAGTAATCTCGGGGTAGGCAACCTGCAGCTCTGGAGCCACATGCAGCTCTTTAGCCCCACTTCAGTGGCTCTTAATTTTTCACTGCTGTCGGCCTAAAGTGATTCTCACATATTCCAGTTGTAAAAATGTGTAACCTATACACTCCCTTAAATGTTGCTGAACCTAAACAGCGGTGGCTAGTTAGTGGTAGAGTCTCTCTTGCAAGGTTAGCTATTGGTTCCAAATCCGAAAAGAAAAAGCCTCAGAGGGAAACAGAGAACTTAACAGTGAGTGGACAGATGTCTTTGCTTTCACCACCAACACTGCACTGTTCAAGTACAAACTAGTCATAAAGACTCCACTGCAGAGTAGCCACCTTGTGTTGAAACATATTAATGAAAGCTCATTAAGAGCCATTAGTAATATTGATTGGCTTATTTAGACCTAATAGGCTGTGTTACAAATATGTACTGCAGCTCTGGACAAAGTAAGAATAAAATTGATGCCAAAAATGGTTCTTTTGATAGCCCAGGTTTCTGAACCCTGCTGTAAACATTAACGTATGTATATGTATGCAGAATCTGTGAGCAGAGGGACAAGATTTTAGTATCAGAAGTGTTCTGGTTCCCATTTGTAGCCCAAGTAGTATTGGCCAGTCATGGTTGGCCAATACTGGAAAAGCACAATCTTGAAACCTATCAGCTTTCTTCTGAGGACAAGTTAGCTTTATAATCTTACTATATAATGATGACAACTTGGTCAATCCATGTGAAATTTGGCACAGTGGTAGAGGGTCATGGGAGGATGCGAATGAAGCAATATTACATCAATTGGCCAAAGGGGGGCGCTATAGCAACCGATTGAAATTGCAAACTTTGAATGGGCATATCTCATGCCCTGTATGTCGTAGAGACATGAAACTTTGCACAGAGATGCCTCTCCTCATGAGGAACAAATTTGCCTCAAGAACCCATAACTTCCGGTTATATAGATTTTCCGCCATTTTGAATTTTTTGAAAAACACTTCAAATGGATCTCTTCCTAGGAAGTTTGAGCGATCTGCATGAAACTGGGTGAACATAATCTAGGGACCAATATCTAAAGTTCCCTCTTGGCAAAAGTTGGAAAACTTACTAAAACTGAGCTTCTATAAGGCAATGAATATTGCGGAGGGCGTGGCTCATCACATAAAGGTGTATAACATCTCAAGGGTTTCACCCATCACCACGCAACTTTGTAGGCATATGACCACACATAATCTGAGGGGACCCCTCCATTATTGACCCCATCAAACAAAATGGGGGCGCTAGAGAGCTCATTTCTTATCTAGGCCTAACCGCCATATGGATTTTTACTAAACTTGGTAGATATGTAGAACAGGACGCCTCAAGGTGACTGGAGAAGTTTAACTCTAATTGGCAACTGGGTGGCGCTATAACAACAGAAAAATGCTTAAAAATGGCTAAAATGCGATTGATCGCTGTGGCTCCCCCTGTGGACCAATGTTGTGGGGTTTTTTTTCTAATTTTTGGTATGACTAAGTCATGGTATGGTATGCTGTACATAATCACGGAAACTGTCAGTGTGTCATTCTGTCAGTCAGTCATTCTGTCTGTCCCACGTTTTTCTACTCACTGATGTGGTCAATCTATGTGAAATTGCACATAGGCATTGAGGATTGGCATAGGTAGAAGGTGACAGAGCTACCAATGGGTATGGACTGGTTATTATTATTTTAAATTTATCTGCACAAGTCGAGACAATAGGGCACAGAGGAGGAGGTCTTGGCCCAGATATGCACTGGCTCATCATGAGACTACTGCTGATGTGTTCAGAGATTGTAAATACGTTTACAAAAAAGAAGTAAAAGAAAAATGCATGGAATAAATAAGACGGCACATCTGGTTCTGCTGAACTTATTCTGATCGCAATGCTAAACTGATGAAGTACTTTGAGCATTCACATTAACCGAGCTGCCTCGTTTTCATACATGAGGAAACCATAATATTAGAAACACCTCTTAATATAGTTCAACACCATGTTTGCATCCAGTTTAGCCCCTGAGCTGAAATGGATCAGACTTAAAAGAAACACTTTAATTCTTTACTTCTCCAAGGCGAACATCAAAGCAAACGAATGACATTTTAAGAGTGTGCAGGTTCCTCCCCCAAAACCCTAAGTTAACATGAACTTCTACCCCTGCTCCTGAACACAAGAAGAACAAATATATGGGTCTGTAGATTCTTTAACGGCTCAGCACATTAAAAAAAATACAAACAAAAAGAGCGCACAATAGTCTTGATGAATTTTAATTACATCAAATGAATTTATGTAAAAAGTGGAAAAGGAGGAAAACACTGGGTCTCATTATCACCATCATGTTCAACACAGCAACGATACTCTGCACGTACTGGGTAGGTCACAGGTCACCTATACTGAGGGCCTCGTCAGGAAGCAGTTTACAGGTGTTTTGTTTTCAGAGCAGGATGGGGAGCAGTACGAGATGATTTACTGTGATATGATATATGGTTTAAGCTACGATGAACAGTGTGTACGGTTTGTGTCAGTGTGTGTGTGTGTGTGTGGTGGCATGATCCATGGATACCAACAGTTACATAGGTGACCTGAAACACTCCCATGATTAGTTTCTCTCTCTCTCAGATCACACAACCTTCACTCGTGATTGGCAGGCAATAGACGCCGATCACGCAGCTGTCATGGCTTCCTGTCCAAGTCCATTTGGCATCCCCACTGAACGCTGTCCTCCTCTTTGATCGGACAAAGGAAGTGGGGTGATTGGCTGATTGATTGCTCCATGCAGATTGTGATTCTTCCGTCTGAAAGCAGGTTGAGTCAGAAAGGTTTGGTGATGTCATGCTTTTAAGATGTTCTGTACGAGTCTGTCTTTGCTTGTGCATGCTGCCCGTTTAGAAAACACTTTTTCAAGATGATGGCATTGGGCAGAAGAAGGTCCAGCTGACTGAAGTTGCACAGGAGATCCAAAATGGAGTCTGCTTTAAAATGGCCCTTTTGGCTGTTGTGTGAACATTGGCACTTAATCTTAGTCCGCAGAGACTAGTGCACATCTAGCAGTCCGTCACACTAAAGGACACATGGCAGTGCGATCGGCCACATCTTTAGTCTTTATAGAAAAGAAAAAACACAGCAACATTTTCTAGAATTTTTCTGTTTCCTTGATTCAAGGAAGAAAAACAAAACAGAGAAGGAAGCCACTTTTCTCTACCTAAGTGTCCTGGGTTTAGAAAACAAAACAACGAGGGGGAACAAAAACAGGAAACCGGGATATACAATCTTTTCTCACTGTAGACGGTCTCAGCAGATTAACTCTGCTAGGCTTCAGACACACAGCTCCAAGGCCACCTTTCTCTCTGAGTCCCAGGCAAGCACAGAGGAGTGGAAAGAGTCAGAGAAAGAAAGGAGGCAGATTTAGAGAGAAGGAGAGACAAGGGTGACAAAGTAAAAAAGAGAGAAAAAAGAAGATTAAAGGCCAGAAACAGTATCAGTAGACAGTGATATACAAGAGGAGACAGGAGGAAGCAGCCAGCCTGGATCTACGTGCATTGTGGAGGGAACAAGAGCGGGGAAGGATTTCAGCGCTACACTGAAGCCATGCAGCAGCAACAAACAGCCTGACAACAGCAAAGGGCCTATTTTCTGTCACCAGCAGGAAACACTCAGCAGTCACCTTCACCAACAACACAAGAAGCATCATGGAGGAGGGATACGGCGAGGTGCTGGGGTCGTAGCACTCCTCTTGTTGAGGGGATTTGGGGACACAAACAGGCAAAGTGTTCATCCACTCAGAGCGACATGGTTAAACGGCCCATATGCCATGCAGACCAGGGTCCCGTCAGGTTCTGTGAACAGGCGTTTGGCACCACAGGGACGGTGGGGCGACGGACAGGACAGTGGGGAGGGGAGGGGGGGCAGGTTTGGGCTTAGAGAAGCAGGGGAAGCAAGTGCACGGCAGGATGGACGACATCTGTTACACCATGTTTTAGGTTCCCATGGAGACAAGACCGACCCCCCCTCCCTCCCCCTCCACCCCAATCCCTATTCCTCCCGCTGGAGCAGCACTCACTCACCACGCGCTCACAGCATGGTAGCAGACAGACGAGGGTGGTGGGGGCGGGGTTTAGCAGCTTTGCTGCGGCTCCCCACTCCTGCTTTTAGACTTTCTGCCCTCCACATCTGTAGGACAAAGGCAATGTTTATGTTACATCTGTAGACAGCGACAGCAAAGTGTTCATTTACTTTATACCTGCATATACTGTGGATTAAATACATTAAAGCAACTTCAAAAGAGCAAGTACTGAGTACAAGAGCAGAAATAAATAAGGATCTAGAGGCAGACAGTACGACTAGTATTGGCACATAAAGAAGTGCTCGTCTTTGATTATAACTTAATGATCACAACAATCTGTACAAGATCTTGTCAGTCTGAAATACATCATCAATTATCCATTCTCAAGGTGTGGTGCATCGGGATGAGTAAATAAAAGTTTCCAGATACCAAAAGAAATGATGTTCGCTTCATTCACAGAACAATCTGACCACTGACACCTGTTCTCAACTTTCTATGTTAACTTCCTGTATCAATTAAAATATACGTAACAGTCACCTTAGTCATCCTCTACTACCTTCACCGTCAACTTTCACTTCACCAACTATACTTTCCCTCAGATTCAG